ACCCTTTGTATTCGAATCCTTAAAATACAAACCATTCACATGAGTAGAAAATGTAGGCATTTTCGCTTACGTACACCGCATATATTTTGGTTTCATGAATATTTTGCATTCGGTGCTAGGAATTAGAAAAAAAGAACATAAACTTTCAAATCTTCAAATTGGCAACACATCGAGAGGTTAAAAATCATTGTTTTCGATAAAAACTGGCATTCTGATTCAAAGTCCGGTGACGTGTCCAGAGACATAAAATTACCGTTCTCAGTACAGAAAAAGCATTTTATTATACACAGTCACCTGCTTGTTTATAACTTTGGAGCGACGAAGATCGACTTAATGATTCTCATTTGATTTGAGAGAAGTGCTCTTGATATAAATGTACATGTATGTTTACATAGGGAGATCATAAACAGTCAAAATCTCACATCATTTCTCCAACATGATACAATGATTAATGTTTAATAATGCAGTTAGCAGCAAGTATACATTATTGTTCTACAAGAAAGCAAGTCTACAACACGGCATATAACTGAAAGAGGTAAATTAACAATGTATGCTTAAAACTAATTCCAATTTAGGGGCATATATCGCAAATAAGCAAGACAATGTCTGCAACAACACACATTTATTGACTAATCTGTCAATAAATTCCGAACTAAATAATCATGAAGGTATATGTAATAACTGAAGTGCATGTTCATTAGTTTGGCACAAACAACAACAACAACATCACACGAATTACAACTCCATCTGGAAAGGATCAGTAAAAATGTAATTACTGTTATCTGGCAACTGTTATTCATAACATTTGTTGAATTTTTTTGGTTTTGTTATATGCTTGATCAGTCACACACAATTAACTGATAAAGCTCAAACTAACGAATTCCTCTCTATCATAAAACAACAAAAAACATATAGACTGTAAAGAAAAAAAAAGAGTTTCATCCCATAGTTAGCCACTTAAAACGATCTGCTGTAATAATAATTTTACAACAAAATCACTATACGAGCACACACAATTTCCTTGAAAGCTTTAACAGTTTTAATTGCTTTTACATGCAGTTTCACAGACCCTAATAGTGGCCTTTACTCTATACGCATATCAAAGAATCATTACTTATACATACTGCTAGTACACAATGTTTCATAATTATCAGATTGTTCAGTACTTACATGGTCAAATAAATTTGCAGGAAAATATAATTCACTTTATAGTGATTATCATTATCCAATAACGATTTAATTTTCACATACAGGCAAATGGAATATCCCAACCCAAAAGTCGCTCAAAACTTTAGTAACCAGGAGATCCTCTCATTGTAGATTAAATCGGCTGCAGTGTTGCTCTATCAGTTCCTCATTGGATTGGTATGTATGCTGACTGCTCAATTAAGGGCGGCCTGGGTGGAATTGACCTTGAAATATCAAGATGAAAAAAGCACATATTTACATATCAACCAACGATTTTCATCTGTGACCTGTGACTTACTAATTAAACAACTCTGACTGGAGCACCTGTCTATGGTAATATTACCACCATAATTGCAGCTTACCCTTTAAGAAATTCTTGACATATTGTGATAACAATTAAGGAAATACCTTTATTTTCAAAAATTAAACTCTAAGACTTGTTTAAAAAAAAAACGTATTTACCCCTACAATCTAATGAGCTTAAATTATATAGTGATTAAAAATATAATAATGTTTATAGATTAACCATCACATTGGAATACCGCGATATTGTAGAGGTGTCGTGGACGAGTGGATATGTCACCGGACTGTGGATCACAAGGTCCGCAGTTCAAGTCTCACCGCGGCACTAATGTCCTTTGGCAAGACATTGATCTACATTTGCCACTCTCCACCCAGGTGTTAAATGGGTACCCGGTAGGATGCGAAAGCTAATGTGCTTAGATTATCAAGCGTGCGCTTGTAAAAATGACGCCTGGTTGGAATGCTCCCCAGGGAGTAGAGAATGTGCATACATAGTGCGGGTAAGCCTGAATCCGATGACCGAGGTAATAATATATATATATATATATATATATATATATATACATATATATATAAAGCGCTTTGATAGGGCCCTCCTAAAAAGCGCCATATAAGAAATAGTTATTATTATTATTATTATTTTATACAACGCCTACGTGGATCCTTGTCATTTGATTGGAGGATTCTTGGTCACATGATATTTAATAGATGTTATAATGCACGGACGTGCATTTTTGGTTATATGCAGACTGCGTACCTCTCTGCCGTGCGCGTATCCCTGCGTGTATCTGACGCGAAGGCAATCTGAATGTAATCGAGAAGGCTTGACTCCAACTTTAATTTATCTTTAATATAAGGAGTAAAGCATAATTTGTTGATTAACGGTCTTCTTCGATGTTGTATAAAATAAATAATGAATGTTTTTCATTCGTTGAAAAATTAACGTTAATTCTATACAACTCGGCTAACGCCTCGTTAAATTGAATGTTAATCTTTCAACTCATGAAAATATTCGTACTATTGAACTTATAACCATTCATTATTTTTATAACATCAAGGCTAATACTTGCAATATCAGAAATTCACCTTCATGACCTTTGACCTTTGATGTACGTACTCTAAAACTGGATAAGATCGTCTTCCTATGGTGATGTTGTCATCCAGTTTGAATTTAATACCTGATGTAGTTCTTGAGATTTCGCGATAACAAGGCTTATAAGCGTAATTTTCAGAGATAGACCCCTATGAACTTTGACCTATCTTCCCTAGAATCAAATCAGATTGTCCTCCAATGATGACACACACTGTTACTACGTTTGAGGTTTATGTACCTCCAGTTCTTATCGTGATAACGAGGATGTTACCTGTAATTTCAGATATTAAACCTTATGACCTTTGACCTACCTATCCCGAATCTAATCAGATTGTTTTCCTATGATGATACACACTGTCACCAAGTTTAAAGTTCATACCTCCGGGAGTTCCTGAGATATCGCGATATACTAAGGCCATTACCTGAAATTACCAAAAAATGACCTCTTTCACCTGTGACCTTTGACCTACATACCCACTTAATCTAATCAGATCGTCTAAGTAAGGTGATACACACTGTCACCAAATATGGAGTTCATATCTCAAGTGGTTTTTGAGATACCGTGATAATGAGAAAGCGGGACGGATAACCCATAAACATTCCTCCGTGACTACCTTCGTGGGCAGAGGCATGAATTAAAAACGTCTAATTAATCCTTCACTAACTAGTTGTTTCAGCTCGTGATTCGCTGTTGTTTAGTCTATACAGTGTGAGTCCAAAAAAAAAGTTTACACTTAAAAAGAATGCTAATTATTAAAAAAATCATCGATGAAAATTAAATTGTTACATGTTTTATGAAAGAGTGTTTTATCCCAAATCATTTGGTACCATTTTTGTTTTGTATGTGTTCACGCTTGGATGAACAGGAGACATTGTTTGCGAGAGTGCAAACATCGACTTGCGCCAAAGTTGCTTATGTGATGTTTGAATAAAACAATTGGGATTTGGTATTAATTCGGTCTTTGCAGATCAAAGTAACATCCCTAACAAAATTAATCATGCCACACATATCAAATATCGAATATCAAATATCAACGAACATTTGTGTGCGCGTGTGTAGGTGTGCGTGACTTTGCCCTTTGCAAAAAAAACATATGCAATGCATTTCATTTGATACATTAAATCCATTCTCTCACTCCGCTAATCCCAATATAATACATACTATAGGCATCACTTTGGCGCAAGTCGATTTTTGCACTCTCGCAAACAATGCCACCTGTTCATCCAAGCGTGAACACATACCACACAAAAATGGTACCAAATGATTTGGGATAAAACACTCTTTCATAAGATGTATAATAATTTACTGTTCATAGATGATTCTTTAAATAATTAGCAATTTTCTAGGTGTAAACTTTTTTTTTGACTCATACGGTATACACCACTAACAAGAAATAACGAAAATAGATAACATAAAAAGCATTTGTACTTACATTCTTGCATGTATCTCCCTCGTTATGCATAGTTGTTGTAATTGGCTTCTTACCATTGACCAAATCTTAGTCCCATTTCATATTCCGAGTATTGATCTGAAATAAAAGGAAAGGAATCCCTTTCTTCAATAACCTCGTAATATGACTATAGACATGAATCTAGAAAACACAGACAATGCAAACGAAAGACATATTTTCTTTAGATAAGCAGTTATTATCATCTATTACAATAATAATAATAAAGATATATTTAACAGGAATCTTCTGAGGATTCTTTTCGCACTTGTGAGATATGACTCAAAATTTCTTTAGATCAATTCCTCTCAAAGTTCCATGTTGTATAAAATCTTGTTGGCAAACATAATGCATAGAACATGGTGGCAATCAACAAGCATGACTCCATGCCTAAAATTGACATCACAAACTACAGTCAAAGCTGTATATTAAGGTCACCAAAGGGAAACAGGTGGCCCTCCCGAAAGGTTGTACAATTTTCTTTCTTGAGGGTGACGAAGTGCATGGATACTATTCATACAAATGTGGTTTATAGCGAGGTGGTCATGTTAAAGACAGGTTTCACTGCATCTGCAAAATATATCATCTTTTAAGCGAAAAGGGCGTTCTCTCAGAGATTATACTTCTTCTTCTTCTATGTGCCATATCCTAAGACGTTGGCGACCATGGAGTGCCACAACTCTCTATCCCATATTCTATGAAGTAATTCATTCTCCCCGAGATCAATTCCACGTTCAGAAATCCCACTCCTTAAGCTACTCATCCACAGAATCCTCCTTCTACCCCTATTCCTCCTCCCCTCGATTCTTCCAGTCAGTGCAAGATTTTCCAAACCATTCTTCCGTATAACATGGCCCAATAAGCTCAGCTGTCGACCTCTTATATTATTCAGAAGCTTTCGTCTTCTTCCTGCCATGGCAAATACCTCATCATTAGAAACTCTTTCTGTCCATGAAATTTTTAGCATCCTTCTCAGGAACCAGACTCCACAACTTTCCAGTCGCTTTCTTAGGTCTGATGTCAGGGTCCAAGCTTCACAGCCATACATTAGAACTGGATACACGTAGCAATTGAGTACGCGGAGTCTCGTTTTCATCTTCAGCTTCTTATTCTTTAGGATGTTTTCTAACTTGGAGAAAGTTGATTTTGCAAGTGCAATCCTTCTCTTGATTTCTTGCTCGCCTCTTGCGTCGTCTGTAATTGTAGTCCCGAGGTAATTAACAGAGGTGGCTTGCTTTATTTGATTGTTGTTGATCTTAAGAGAGCGTGGTATTCCTCTCTTCTTTGAAATTACTATGCATTCCGTTTTCTTGTAATTTAATGATAATCCTCTCTTGTCACTTTCTCTGACGACAACATCCAAAAGTCGCTGCAGGTCCTTCTCCGATTCTGCGATTACTATAGTATCATCCGCATACCGTAAGTTTGTGATATTATGTCCTCCTACTTTCAATCCTCTTTTCTGTTCTAGGTTTCTAAGTATCAACTCACTGTAATAATTGAAGAGATCTGGAGAAATGACTCATCCTTGCCGAGCCCCCCTCTTAATGTTGATGTAGTCACTTAATTCTATTTCTACCCTAACACATGCTGTTTGCTCCTAATACAGATTTTGCAATAACTTGATATCCTTTGTGTCTAGTCCAATCTTGGTTAAGTCTTCAAGTAACTGATCGTGTCTTACTTTATCAAAGGCTTTTGTATAGTCGATGAAACACAGGAAGACGTCTTTCTGCATTTCTACGGCCCTTTCTGCTATAGACCGCATAACTAAAACAGCATTTCTAGTTCCGGCATCTCTGACGAAACCAAACTGCACATTACTAATTTCTGGATTTAGGTGATTCCTTGCTCTTTGAAGTAGAACTCGCAAGATGATATTTGTGATATGGCTCATGAGGCTGATGATTCTATGTTGCCCGCATTCCACTGCTCCAGGTTTCTTGGGAAGTGTAATAAATATCGATTTGCACAGGTCATCTGGAAACTTTCCATCATCATAGATCTTATTGATGACTTCAGTTAGTTTCATGACACCATAGTTCTCCAATGCTTCGACCATCTCCATTACTACTCCATCAGGACCAGCAGCTTTGTTCATCTTCATCATGCTGATCGCTGACCTCACTTCTGAGAGCAGAATCCTAGGTCCTTCAATAGATCCTGCACAGTGTGGAGGTTCTTTTCTTACATCATCAAAAAGCTCGCCAATGTACTCAAGTCCATCTGTTCAGTATCTCTTCCTTTTCAACCAGTACTGATCTATCCCTTGCCTTGATGCATCCCGACTTGGAGCTCCGAAGTTTCTTTCCAGAAAATTAATTTACCTTCTTAAAAACCCTGGGATCGTTTGCATTAAAACTTCTCTCTATCTCGGCGCACTGTTTGTTCAGCCATTCCTCTTTAGCTTTTGTGCAGTGGTCGTGAATTTCTCTGTCTAACTCTCTGTATTGACTTCCATCTCTGTCCTTGATCTTCTGCCTTTTACTCATCTTTGCTAGAATCTCCTTCGTCATCCATCTCTGTTTACTTTTCTTTTCCTTTTTAGGTAATGTCTCTTCAGCTGTTTCTACAAGAATGTCCCTCATTGATTCCCAAGTGACCTCCTCTCCCTGGTCGGTGAGACTATCGAATCTGTTTTTGTACTTTGACAGTATATCGGGGAGCACATCACGATTCTGTAGCTGTTCGAAATCTACCTTCTGGATTGACTTGGCTTTTGTCATCTTCTTTAGCTTACATTGCAGAGTTGCCACAACAGGAATGTGATCACTCCTATAGTCTGCTCCCGGATATGTTTTAGATTTTGTTTACACCTCTTTAAACCGTTCATTTATTGTGATGTAGTCAATCTGATTTCTTGCACGATCCCCGGGGCTTTTCCAAGTATATATCCTTCTTGGATGTTCCTTGAACCATGTATTGACAATGACCATTCCTTTGGCCTCGCACCACTCTATCCATCTGGTACCCCTTTCATTTATGTCTCCAATACCACATGGCCCTACTGTTCTACCATATCTGCATCTTCCCACCTTGGCGTTCATGTCTCCCATGGCGATTACAATTTCATTTGATTTACATTGTGATTTGGCTGCCTCTAATTGCTCATAAAAAAATGTCAATATCTTCATCTGTGCTCTCCGCTGTGGGTGCATAAACCACTATTATTGCCATATTGAGAGGTTTCCCTTGTAATTTGACCAACAAGACTCTGTCGCTGACTGCCCCCAAAAGCCCAGAACACTGTGAATGGATCCAGAAGCACACCTACACCTCTTTCATGTCTTATCCCTCCTGAATAGATCATCTTATGTTTTGCAACTGTGAATTTTCCACTGCCAGTCCATCTTGTTTCACTAATGCCTAGAATATTAATTCTCATCCTGTTCATTTCTTGCACGACGTTGTCCAATTTCCCTTTCTGGTAGAGAGTGCGTACATTCCAGGTGCCGATGCGCATGATGTTACGGTTGCGGACAGACGCTGAATGACGATCGGGTCCCACCTGTCGCACATGGGAAGGCCTACCGAGCGAGGCACCTCTATTTCTAGAGGTTCCCTTCACGCCGTTTCTCTTTGACTTTGAATTGTAACTTCCATGGTATATCTTGGGAAGAATAGTGAAGGTGGTTTCCCGTTGTGGTGTTCCGATGTGAACACCAGTTCTGAGAGACGCCGTTGTCCCTGATAGAATCATCCGCCTGAACTCTCAATGCATCGCTGCTGCCCAATGCAGTCCCTTTTAGTCGCCTTTTACGACACGCAGGAATACGTGAAGGGAATTCTATATGGCACCTACTCCCAGGCCTATACAAAGATATTTAATGGCCTTCTGGTTCTGAACAGAAGATATATGGAAATATTAAAGGGAGTGTATCATGGCAAATACTGGTTAACGCCATCTACGTCTTCTTTTGGATAACTGCACGTAAACGAATGGACTTGGTTAACTGGTTCAGCGTGCGCTTACGTTCGCGAAACAGACCGAAGTTCTCCTCACGCTTCGGTTTCGTGTATGTTGTACGCACGTGAACGATGCGGTCTCGTCGCCCGTAGTCGTAGTTATACCCGATTGGCCCCGGGTAGGACCACGGGAAAGACACATAATTTCGTCATGACACATTCCCTTTAACATCATTGATAACATGCGATTATTCAAACTGCGTGAAAAAACCAAATGACTCAAACCACCCGCTTGCATATCTCGTTACCCAAGATAAATATATTTTAAATCCGACCATCCTGACCAAATATACCTTTTATTTTAATAGCTATAACGAATAACCACATTTGCCTTCTATGCGACTTTTGGGATGGTTTTGTGAAGGAGATTCACAAATTCGCTCATTGTCTGCATGTACTGCACATGCGCGATACACCTACCAATCGCTGATTACCTAATGCTTCGCCTTGAAAAACACTGTTCTATTACATTTTTGTCTCTCTGACGGTTTTAACGTCGGAGTACAGTAGAAAGACAATTTTACCTCGGTCTTAATCTCTTTTGTCAAAAGCGAGTTTAGACCAGGCATCAGGTTTAACTTAATAGAGCACAACCTCATCATGATATGATGATTTTCCAGCATCAGTTACGTTCGCATCTTAATGGGTTCCCATTTATAACCCTGGATGAGAAGAAGCAATATGCAGACAGAATGCATTACACAGGGACGTAAGTGCCATACTGAGACGTTACTCAAGTATTAAGCAAATAACTGCCGTTGGTGAAGGTAATAGTTTGCCATCGCCTGAAACCAAAGGGTGATTATTTGCTTTATATTCCACATCTAAAACAATTTAACTACAAAAAGAAAAGGACGTGTATGCATCTACATGAAAGACACCAGGTCCAAATTCACACCACAAAAGTTAAAAGTTTAACCCAACCCCTTGAGGGTACGGTGCGCGCTTGTGTTTGCTTTAATTTAGCTCATTGGTAATGCGCGCTTAATTACGCCTGTTTTAGTGCGCTTTTGGATAATCTTCAGTGAAAGTGGGTTGCCCTGTGTAGATAGTACCTCTATCTTCAGTGAAAGTGCGTTGCACTGTGTATATAATAGCAGGCGCGGATCCAGGATTTCTTAGGGGGGGGGGGCCCAAATTTGAAATTATGCGAGCCAAATATTGGTACGTAATGGTGACCAACAGTGACGTAAGGGGGGGGGGGGGGGTCGGTGCAGGGAGTGGCGAGTTTCCCCCTCCCTCCTCCGTGAAACGCGGAAGCTTTGACGTTTCATTAAATTATTGGAGAAAGGAGACGATTCGTTGTACCGTTCTCGAGAAATAATCCTCGTCGGAATTTAGTTTTTCCCTCCCGCGCGAGGCGCGGAAAATTTTACGATTTATTAAATTATTAGAGAAAGAAGATAATTCGTTGTAGAGTTCTCGACTCTTAATCCTCGTCTGAATTCAGGTTCCCCCCTCCCGCGCGAAGCGCGGAAGTTTTTAAGTTTCCTTAAGTCATTAAAGAAAGAAGACGATTCGTTATACCGTTTTCGTAAATAATTCTCGTCTGAATGTAGTTTTTCCCCTCCCGCGCGAAGCGCGGAAAATTTTACGACTTATTAAATTGTTAGAGAAAGAAGACGATTCGTTGTACCGTTTTCGAAAATAATCCTCGTCTGAATTTAGATTCCCCCCCTCCCGCGCGAAGCGCAGAAGCTTTTACGTTTCATTAAATCATTAGAGAAACAAGACGATTCGTTGTACCGTTATCGACTCTTAATCCTTGTCTTAATTCAGCCCCCTCCCCCTCCAGTGCGAAGCGCGGAAGCTTTGACGTTTCATTAAACTACTAAAGAAAGATGACGATTCGTTGTACCGTTCTCGACTCTTAATCCTCGTCTGAATTCAGGTTCCCCCTCCCGCGCGAAGCGCGGAAGCTTTTAATTGCCATTAAATCATGAGAGAAAGAAGACGATTCGTTGTACCGTTCTCGAGAAATAATCCTCGTCGGAATTTAGTTCCACTTTCATCCCGCGCGAAGCGCGGAAGCTTTTTCGTTTCATTAAATCATTAAAGATTCGTATTACCGTTCTCGCCTCTGAATCCTCGTCTGAATTCAGGTTCCCCCTCCCGCGCGAAGCGCGGAAGCTTTTAATTGCCATTAAATCATGAGAGAAAGAAGACGATTCGTTGTACCGTTCTCGAGAAATAATCCTCATCGGAATTTAGTTCCCCTTTCATCCCGCGCAAAGCGCGGTAGCTTTTTCGTTTTATTAAATCATTAAAGATTCGTATTACCGTTCTCGCCTCTGAATCCTCGTCTGAATTCAGGTTCCCCCCCCCCCTCCCGCGCGAAGCGCGGAAGCTTTGACGTTTCATAAGATTATGAGAGAAAGAAGACGATTGGCTGTACCGTTCTCGATTCTTAATCCTTGTCTTAATTCAACCCCCCCCCCCTCTCCCCTCCTGCGTGAAGCTTTGACGTTTCATTAAATTATTAGAGAAAGAAGACGATGCGTTGTACCGTTCTCTATACTCTTAATCCTTGTCTGAATTTCAAAGATGTTCTTTGTCTGCTCCTTTTTCTTCATACGTCCTCTTCCGATTTGGGGGAACGCCCCCCCCCCCCCCTGGCTACGCGCCTGCGGTCAGACAAACACATTTTGATACCTTGTCCGACCCCGCAAGCTCAGGGGTTTAAGGCAATAAATTACGGTCAGATAAGCATTCAGGGGCCCGCCTTAGTGCCCCTGGTGGGGTCGAGGCGGCGGAGCCGGCCCCGGAAGCTCAGGGGTTTTAGGCGTTTAATTAAGGTCAGATGAGCTTTTTTTTTTTGTTATACCTTATAATTTTGTGACACTTACAGGTCACTTTTTGGCGTGGGGTCCAGGGGGTGGAGCCCCCAAAATCAGGGGTTTTAGGCATTAAATTACCGTCAGATGAGCATCTAAGGGCCTCCCATAGGGCCCTAGGTGGAATCCAGGGGGCAGAGCCCCCGGAAGCTTAGGGGTTTTAGGCATTTAATCACGGTCAGCTGAGCATATTTTGATGCCTCATTATTTGTTAACACTGGCAGTTAACTATTCTTTCTTTCTTGCTCTCATTCTATTTTATTTCTCTTTAATACACTTTTTCAAAACAAGTGGGGAGGGGGGGGGGGGGGAGCTCAGAGCTTTCGATCCCCACCGTACCTCGGGCCCTGACATGTAGAAATCTCAAGAATCATATTTCTTGCCCGGCTGTAAATTTAGGAATTTGTCATTTTCCAACAAACACATACAAACGTATAATTTACTAAAAAGTGAGGAAAAATCTCGGAAATTATGTAATTTCAGCATTATTTGTAATCCACCGTTGTGGAATTAGAAATGAAACCAAGCCCCCCCCCCCCTATCAGTACGCCAGTATCTCCTCTTTTACTTTTTTCTTTCCCTTTCCTTCCTTCTCTCTTATTTTTTTGATTGGGGGGGGGGGGGGGGGGGTCAACAGCCTGGGCAAGGCAAGGCCCTTTCGGTCCCCCGATCTCCTTCTTTCCCCTTTTCTTTTCTTCTTCCTCTTCTTTCTTTCCCTTTCTCTCCTCTTTCCTTTCCCTTCTTTTCCTTTCTTCTCTCTTTTTTTTGGGGGGGGGGGGCCAAGGCCCGCTCGGCCCCCCTGGATCCGCGCCTGTATAATAGTACTATATACATAGTGTAACGAACTTTTTGCTTCTCCCATAAATAATGGGCGAACTATCTTTCATCACGTGATTTATTTTTGACCAATCGTAGAGCAAGATTCTTAGTATGTGGAATATAATGTCGACTATCTTACACCTATAGAATACGGGCCTCATTGTGGAATACGGCCGTCAGATGGTAAAACGGTCTATCTCGAAATTTTGACTTTTTGAGGTAAATTCACTTTCCGGGTAATGTGAGGGCGCTATTTCCAATGGTGCTATCGAGAAAATCCCTTCATGTCTTCTTTTAGAGATAATTTCCGCTATCTTGGTACTTTTTTGTATTTTTCCTTCAGATTTGATGGTAAAACGGTCTATCTCTGAGTTAGCCCATTGCCGGTAATATCGTTTGGGGATAAAACGTAAAAATGTAAAAATCTTTTACATAAACCTTTTAACCTTCTGAATTGAGATTTTTTAATCATCGCTGTCAGATGGTAAAATGGTCTATCTTCGAGTTATTAGTATGGCAATAGTGTTTATGGTCTTTCTAGAATATAGACCATTTTACCAGTTTATGTGTAGTGGGAGTGTATTCATGTGATGTGGTTAAACAGTCTATCTGCACAAAAAATCTCATTTATTTTATAATTAAAACCCCAAATAAGCACAAAATTCTTCAGTTATCAGTGTTTAATATGCTTCTTCTTGTCCCATTGCTAAAAACCTGTAAACTTCAAAGTCATTTTTCCCAGAACAGCGATTTTCGAGTTAGACCGTTTTACCATCTGACGGCCGAATAATAGCTATGTCCATATGAACCTAATGGGTGAAAGATTCAAACATACCATAGGGTTGGATCGTGTAGTTCACATTGGATTCATTAAACGTCACCGTTGTATTATTCAAGATTAGGATACTCAAGTGGACCAGATTCTCGGTACATTCTTTTTTCAACAGTAGATACGCTGTCTCATTATTGCACTCATTGATTTCCGCCCCGTCGGACATAATACATGGTGACCCGTTCACCAGAGTGTCGTAGAGGATGTCAAAGGTTGAGTTTGGTGGTACCCTGTATGTTCCACCTGGTGGAGACACACTGGGTTCTTGCCGTGGTTGATATACTATTCAAGAGAAGAAAAAAAAAATGATAAACATGCATTCAAATAACACACAACACATTGCTGTTGTTGTTGTTTAGTGAATATTTAATCCAGTGCAATTATAATCTGGTTCTATATAGTAATACATCCATTATCAGTATTAAAGCAGCTTTTCTCGAGAGCCCTGTAATCATTTAGGTAATAATAATGATAGTGAGTTCTTGTATAGCGCTCATGGCTGTCAGGAATTAATTCCAGCCAGGTACACCTGGGTTGAGTGTGGCAAATGGAGTTCAATGTCTTCCAAAGGGACTTTAGTGCCAAGGCAAGACTCGAACCGCGGACCTTGTTATCGACAGTCCGGTGAAATATCCACACGATTTTAGAGACAGCACGGGACTCTTCCGCATGTGTGGTCACATACTCTGCGGCGCCCGTACGGTGTTCTTTACGGGCTTTATACGGCCTAATGGTCAGATAAAAACGGAAAATATTAGGGAACATTGTGAAAATTGGTCGAGTTGAAACCCAAGGCGCCCGTAAGGGTTTCGGCAGGGTGCCGGCCGGTAAGCTTATGGGCTCCGTCCGATGAAAAGATGGACCCAATGGCTCCGGAGCGCGTCCGGGGTCGTCAAGGCGCCCAGCTCGGCGCCTTGCGGTACACTGAAGTATTTGTCCTATGACATCCGCGCCTCCTGTATGCAATGCCTGGATTACATTTGGCCTGCGATTAGTCTACAGAGCCCGTATCCTGCCCGTACCCCCTTTTCCGTGCGGCCTCCGTGCGGAGGCAGGAGGTGGTCGTGAGATTTTCGTACGGATTCACGGGCTCCGCGGGTCTTCGCGGCCTCGTAGGTGTCATTGCACGATCTCCGCACGGGCCTCGCGCGGAGGACCTGCGCTGATCGTGCATCAAACGTACGATTTTCGGTGAACATGGAGGCAAAAAACGCTTAAAAACGGCACGGGGCTGTACGGTCACCCGACAATTCCCGAAATGTCTGTTTTACTCGCCGTACGAGAACCGGAGTGTATATGTGAAAGCTTATAAGGATAAGACACAGGAGCTTTCCCTAAACTGTCAGGTAACCGTGCATCTCGTTAGTCAAAATTAGCCACATATTCCCTGCATGGCGTATTTTATTGTGTTAAGTACTTCAGGGGAAAACTCGAAAGAAAAATTTCCATCTCAGGCTGCTTTTCTCAATTTTAGGGAGTTACTCATGTAAATAATTTGAAGACAGGATGAATTTTAAAAGCTGCGGAAAGATGGAAAAAAAAAGGATTTATACCTTACACACAATTATTGAAACTAGGTTATATATTCCTTCTGGCTCCAGAGTGTTGGCTCAGTAACCGGAGTGTTGGCTCAGTCAGTAGAGCGTCCGCCTCACAACCGGGAGGTCGTGGGTTCGAACCCCGGCCGCGTCATACCAAAAGACGTTAAAAGATGGGAGTTGTTGCTACCTTGTTTGGCGTTCAACAATAAGGGATAGAGCAACGTCGATCTGGCGCTGCTCAGTGGCTGCCGGGCTCACGATCAATTGGGCAAAAAGAATTTCCGTTTCGGTTTAATAAAATTTGGAGTGGACTATTAGGCTATTATTATTATTATTATTATTATTATTATTATTATTATTATTATTATTATGCTCTACTCTGCTGAGTGGGAGCTGAACAAGGTCAGTATGGTTTCATTCAAAGCTATTCTTCGATGAACCATAATGATCCGGGAAAGAATACCTCTCTGGAGAAATGTACGCTCCGTCATACATGTTAGCATTATAATCAGATTATGTCATTACTAAAACAGCACACACCTGAAAAACCCAAATAAAGGGGGAAATGGTTTCTGAAAATCATGTAGAAACACACTTAATTTTCAAGATATAAATGACAAAAATTGGATACGTACCGGTGCAATCACTTAAGACATCAACATTATCAAGTGTCGTAACCAGGTAGCTGTTGTCAGGGGCAAGCTCCAAGTCTTTAATGGGACGAGAAACTACAGGATTCTGTATATTGGAAAATAACAGAAACAGAAAGAAAGGGCAAGAGAAAGAGAGTTTCAATATCATTTTATGAACACTAATTTTCATGATTATTAACAAAGAAATTAAAAGTACATACAATTGTATAGATACTACTGCAAACAGTGTAGAAAAGATAAAAGGAGCACAGATCAAGTTTTGTTATTAACAATGCAGGGCTAATTCTTAATATTATTCTTAATGGAATACGTGATATATAATGTACGCAAATAGAACGGACGCGTCTAACAACTGTAATCTCAGATCCTCAATAAATTCATGCAAGCAATTCACATTATGCATTGTTAATGATTATTACGGTCGCTATCTTCACGCACGCGGGTGCACCCGCACCCCATCGTCGGTACGCACTTGTATTCTGCAGCAGTTTGCCGTGAAACCTGCGATAAAGTGCATATATACTTCGTTTTTAGGAAAAATACTGCAAAAAAGACAAGATAATAGACACGAAACAGGTAAGAAAGAAAACGATGTTTGAATCATCAATATTAGTTGCATAACTGTTGAAGATTCAGTTGATTTTTGGTATGTAATAGTAAGGTATCTCCACAATCACAGTTCTGAACAAACGCTGAAAATTGACCACAATAACATCAAACTCCATCAGTTCGAGCCAGAGCCCGGGCTAGAGCTCGACGAGGCGCCTGAGGCAGCAGAGGCAGAAGCAGACTGATAGATCTAGACCATATATATAAATTGTCAACTGACTGAGGGAGGGTACGTTTATGCTCAACTTTTTCTGGTCAGAATGAGGCATTTGTTACGCGTTTAGTTCGAAACACGGCTGCGTCCTTTCTCATTTTTGTAGAATCACAGCAAACGGCGATCGTCTTCTGGGGAAGCATAAACGCACAATCATTTGTAAACGCGTTTAAATGGGGTCAACGTAAAATGCGCAGTGCAGGTTTGCGAATCCAGCTGCAGACTCTGCACTGCACTTCTCTGTCTCCTCCAGGCATGATTCTGGCTCTGAGCCAGAATCATGCCTGGAGGAGCCAGAGAAGTGAGCATAAACAGTACACAGTGGAACTGCGATTACGATGAGCATTACGATGAGCGTTTCAAATCGCTCATTCTGCCTTCAAAAGTATATAGACCAGATCCAACGTTAGTCTAGACTAGACCACTCGTACTCCAGTGCAGGCGCATATACGGTGGCATTGAAAGTACAAATCTGAGTGACGACGAGCTGTCCAAACTGAAACTCTCGAGGCCTAACAGCAAATTAACCATAATTTTCCTTTTCTCAGCTGCAGTCCTCAAAGTCTTCTCCTCCTTTTTTTGAATCCCAATACTTTCTTGGTGGCATGATATTCTCTGCGTATCCCAGCCATACAATTGAAAGAAAACAAAAGTAAGCCGCAAACGTAAAGCAAGAATGCAAAAAAATAATGCTAACCCCAAAACACCGTGGAATCTTTGCCCACTCGTTTGATAGTTTTGTTAAAGGAAACTGACGCCAGGCTGACAAGAACGCGTACGCAAAATAATGAAAGGACTGTGATAATCCCAGGACGTTTCTGTCCATTTGTCATTCCTAATTATGAATTACAATGAGATTGTAAGATCCTTAGCTGTAGGAAAAAATACAGGGACAATCCTGCAATGACGTAAAATGCGTCATCAAGCCACGTGACCGTATTAATACTTTTTTTCTCGAGGGGTGGAGCTTAGCAAGCGTGAGATCTATGACAAATTGATGGTTATTATCATTTGTTGGTCAATATAGAGATTTTCTGAAAAATGTTAGACTGGAATATGAATAAGTAGAGGTGTGTTCATGTTTTGAAATGCTAAGTTTGTAGGGTTGTAGGGACCCTTTAATGTGTACCTCTATGATGGAACATATTATGTTCTGTTCTGAACTTGCGTGGTGCTGCATGTGCACGAGTAGTATATCCGGGCAGTGATGGAAAACAAACACGTGACTTAAATACCCGTTTTGGCATTGACTGCACTTCTTGTTTCTGCCTTATAACATTTTACGTTACTTTCCTAGAAATCAACCCACTGCCTAAATGAACAGGGCGGTCCCTTTATTTAGCATAAGGGATTAAGATAACTCGTAGTCGAAGGGTAACATTATTAATTAAAGGTAGGTCTTTTACTCACTTGACAAGGATTTCCCAAATCTGGTTCGGTAGTATCTACTTCGACTTCGTAGAGACATCCCTTTTCTGTGAAATTCAAGAGTAAAGTCATACGGTAGTTACCAGGCGCGGATCCACGGGGGGGGGGGGGGGTGGCCCGACGGGCCCCCCCCCCCGGAAAAAAGGAAAGGAAAGGAAAGAAAAGGAAAAGGGAAGAAAGAAGGGTTAAAACACGAGTTAGGAGTGGACCAAGGGCCCTCACCTATCCGTATATAGGCCAAGCTCCCGCGGTTCAGCTGGACATGCGCCGAGCTATGGGTTGTTTTCAGGTTGTTATTATAATAGAAACAAAATGCCAATGATCTCTCTACACTAGGGCGTACAAGTTACAACGTTCAAAAGTATTTCAGGACTCGGTTAACTTCAGGTCCATCTGTCAAATCATCATGCTGTTACACAGTGTACAGGGTCCGCGGTATGGCGGGGCTCGAGCCCCCCCCCCTCTTATTTGAAAAAAGTATTTTAAAAAGAAATAGAAAGAAACCAACCAAGGGCAAGGCCCCGCAAAAAAAAACTTGTTTTTCCTGCAAAATGCGAGACCACATATTTTATCTACATAAAAGCGCGACTTAGCAAACGTAATTAAGGAAAAAGCACGAAAAAATAGCAAATGCGAAAAGTAAAAACACGGAGGCATCGTGAAGCATATCGGCAAAGCTTCCAAATTCGGCAGTTCACGGATTCATAAAATTATTTTCGTAAAAGTGGTCGTAAAAGCCTGATTTATTCAGAAAATTACCCATTTTTATCGCCAGAATCTTGGTAAAAACACTGCATTCAGTTGAACAGGTGCACAGAAGACGACCTGTCAGTCTAATTTTTTCTTTTTCAATCTGCCCATAATATTTATTATATGTAAATGATACCGAATAAAATTAGTTTCATGCACATTATTTATTAGTGTCACAGATGGGTTGTTACTGTTACACTATATGGACAGATTGGATAGATGCGTAAATCATTAAAAATTAAAATGAGTATACGATGCGAAAAGGATTCTTCTCCAGCTTCCGGAAACCAACCTGGGATTTGTGTTGTGTCCTGCAGGACGTAATTACTCACCTCTTTTGCATAATGTGTGCGTGAAATTTGGTTCTTTCTTATACGTGCCCCTTTTCATCTCCGATGAGTACATGCCCTTAATAAAATTTGAGAGGTGCCCCCTTTAACTCTGTAATAAGTGCCCATTTTCATCTCTGATTAGTGCCATTTTTCTTCTGAAAATTGCACTTTTTTCGTTGTCATAAGTGCATATTTTCATCTCTGGTGAGTGCCCCTTATTAAGTGCGAGGAGTGCCCCATTTTCACCTCTGGTAATTCCCCTTTTTACTTTGTCATGTGCTCTTTTTCATTTCAAATAAGTGTCATTTTCCCCTTTGGATATGTGCCCCCTTTTTATTTTAAAGGGATTAAGAGGAACTTTTCTTTAATTTCACCCAAGTGTGGTTCGCTACGCTCGCTCGTATTTAAAGTTGATATAATTATGGTTCATATTAAAGATCTTTTCAGTCTTTCATGATTAGATTGTGCTTAAAACCCCATCAGGGTTTTTTTTTCTTCTTTATAAGATGTAATTTTTTTCACTGCGACCTCACAAATCCAATTTGTATAAAATATTCTTACCATCACAAACCAACTACAAAGTAAATGTGTGATGCTTGAACAGTATGGACCATGTTAAGAGAGAAACAGACATTGAAGTCATCCCTGTAATCACATTGTAGGGGGTATATACCAATGTCTAAACAAACTGTAAATTTTCGATTTCCCTTAGTAGGTGCCCCTTTCTCCCGGAAAGTGCCCTTTATTGGGGGTGGGGGTCAGGCGCGGATCCACGAACCCATTTCTACCGGCCCGGCTATGGCAACCCCTTTGTGTAAAAACTAGATAAACTCAGTTTATCAGAAAAACTGTGTTTATCAATGATAAACTCAGTTTATCAACTGAAAAACTGAGTTTTTCTGATAAACTGAGTTTATCAACTGATAAACTCTGTTTATCTGATAAACTCTGTTTATCTGTTGATAAACTGAGTTTATCATTGATAAACTGAGTTTTTCTTGATAAACTGAGTTTATCAACTGATAAACTGAGTTTTTCTGATAAACTGTGTTTATCTGTTGATAAACTGAGTTTATCTGAGAAAAACAGAGTTTATCTGAGAAAAACAGAGTTTATCTAGTTTTTACACAAAGGGGTTGCCATAGCCGGGCCGATAGAAATGGGTTCCTGGATCCGCGCCTGGTGGGGGTAAAAGAACACTTTTGTTTGGTCCCCAAAAAAATCGCAACGACTCAGCCGGCCGCTGAATAAGCGGGGGGGGGGGGGGGTGGGGTGGTAAGAGGACATTAAAAAAAAAAATCGCCGAAGGGGGGAGGGGGGGTTGTTCTAAAATACACACATACAAAAAAAACTAAAGGGGGGGGGGGGTTAACCCCCAACCCCCCTCCCCCCCCCCCCCCGCGTACGTGCCTGCCTAGAGGTACCGGTGCCATGAATACCAGTGTCCTAAAGACATTTTGTCACAACGGGGTACTATGCGGACTGCATACATAGTCCCACTTCTTGTGTTTACAGTCTTTTCCTCCTATCATAAATTTATGCTGGAAAAAGTCACAGATTTTAAATGATATCATGGCAAAAAGTATACACCAAATCGCACAAATTGAGTTTACAAATTCGATTTTTCTTAAGCTTTTCAGGGGGACACATCCCCCCTCAGACTCCCCCTGTCCGCGCAAGCGCGGAACGCGGCGCTGACGCGCCGCTCAATATTTTCTCACAAATTGCCCCCCCCCCTCGACGCCGGCTGGATCCGCCCCTGGTAGTTACAATACTGAACTACTGAAAGCCTTCATCAGATATACCGTCATAAACCACAGCAATTTGTTTTAATGATGACACAAAGTGTTTAAATTTCGTAATTTCCTATCTTATAACATAATTCATTACACGTAGGATTTTGGATGCGCGCAGTTGCCATTCATTTACATTTAAAAAGGGGACAAAACAGCAATTTTAGGGGTGACGTTTTAGTGCATCGGAAATCAGGCCAGTTTGAATTATATGGTTACTACAAGGAATTAATTGACAAGATATTCCACAAGATACCTCCATCTCATAAATTTAAGCAACATAAGAAAATAGTTCTAGCCATTTTGAAAGTGTGTAATGTTCAGGAATGCAGATTTGAAAAAAAGGTGTTTAAAAATAAAGCAATTTCACACCATTATGCCATGTTTTAAAGGTGCTTTTGAGAGGACGATTAACCTTTTTGTGAATGCATATTTTGATAAGCCCAAAATACATCTAGGCTATGAAAGTATTTAAATCCCATTTCAAACCCGTTTTTTTTTAATAACAAAATGTGTGGGCAATGTTCTTAAAAAATATTAGGAGGTAGTTGTTGGTTGCTCTAACGATCACGTGTTACACCTTTGGAAATGAAGTGGCATGGCCCAGGATTTACCTGAAGAAATGATGTAGATTTCCGTGCCGCTTTCAGAAGTCATTTCCAAATTAGAGAAGCGGTCTCCAAGCAGAAAAAACTGGACTCTCCCAACTGCATGGTCGCTCATTAGGTTGTAATCACGCTCAAAGCCTGTGTTTAAGGTGTTTGGATTGGGGCACTACAAAGGGGGAATATGGTTAGATATAGGTTAAGCCAGAAGAAGATTGGTTGAATGATGAATACAAAGCATCCTTTTAGTGAAAATAATTATAATACTTTATATTCACTATTCATTTCATATATTATAACCTAATCAACAATTCCCCCCTTGTGTGTGCCTAGAAATATCAAGAAACTATTCCCTTGTATAGGTGTTACACAACATACCATTTTGTTCTCAATTTAACTTGACCAGAGGTACACATCAATATGGTTTGTAGGGGAAAAAAATAGGATATTAAATACACACACCAAAATAGGCGAATAGGGAGCCTATGACCATACATCGTCTTTACACAGTTGCCAATTAGGCTTCATTATAATTGATCTTCATATTATTCATTACATTCAACAACAACAATTAGCAGAAGTCTCATTTTTTTTCAAACCTTTTGTTTAAATAAGATTCTCTGACTTTTTAAAGCAAAAATTAGTGATGCCTGTTTTCCTTGAGAAGCAGTTGAGTTATGGCAAAGATGAAGAATAATTATGTTCATTTGGAAAAATATCACGGTAGAAATGTTCCCTAAAAGAGGTCGCTTTTCAAATGCCCTCCTTTAGAAGCTTGAGCCGAACGAACGTTTATGTCACATGTGTGAGCAGGTCAAAACACCCATTTCTGTTCCCGATTTATGTAATTTTTGGAGTCAATCTACTTTCATTTGAGTGATTCCGAAATCCCTAAGTAAACATTAATTGGCATGGACTACATTCATACACGAAATCAACCTTTCCCAATTACTTCCATATTTTTTTCTTTCAAAGAATAATTGCAAGACAGGTATTCAAACTTTATCTTGAAAGATAGACTCACATCCAAACCAGGCCTTGGCAACACTTCAAGTCCATCATATACTCTCCAAAGATCATTGTTAACCGTACCATCAGCCCCGAAGAAATCACCCTCATTGAATGTTCTTTCGATTGAAGTCAGATCGAAAACACAGAGAGCTGTTTGTGGCGCTGCATTCCTGGAGAAAATAACACATGATATTATTATTATTATTATTATTATTATTATTATCATTATTATTATTATTATTACTTATACATGTACCGCGCTTTTCCCATAAGGCCCAAAGCGCTTACATTTAATACAAATAAAAAAATTACATAAATACATATAATTAGAAAAAACAGTCTTACAACTACAAACTGCAAAAAAAAAGGCCTTTCTGAAGGTAATAACTAATTCGAAGTGGTAAATCATTCCAACATTTTGAAGCAGATACAGTAAATGTCCCATCACCGGCTAATGTGCGGGTAACTGAATATGTGAGACGGAGAGGATCACTGGCTGACCTCAATGTCCTGGCAGGTGTATATAAATTCAAACAGGTATCATTAACTTTTTTGAGCAGAAAGTATGAAAACTCATATAATGATATGATAATAGATATTTGTACATTGCAGCCACTGCAACCCTCACCGCCCCAGCTGTTAGGGAATTTGGGGAAGGATTAACATGCCAATCAGTAATGTTCAAAGCTACAAAATAACATAATAATGTCAATACATTTTGGAATCAACAACATGATATGAAAGTAATATGGACTACTTTTATATTTCTCATCAAAGTTTAGATATTGCAAGTTTTTTAATTTTTCCGTAGATCATGAAGCTACCTTGAGTAGAAAAAAGAAGAACTTGTAAGTTACTTTCATACTTCTTGGTAACATTTTCGAGATTAAGATATTGTCAGTTTTTATTTTCAGGAGATCAAAAAGCTACCTGAGTAGAAAAAGAAGAGCTTGTAGATTATTACCATACATTGTTAAGGTTCGGATATTGTAATTTGTTTTTATTTTTCAGTAGATCACGGAGCTTCCTTGAGTAGAAACAAAAAGAGCTTGTAAAAAACAATCATAATTCTTGGTAACATTCGTGTGGTTAATGTATTGTAGGTTGTTAATTTATCAGTAGATGAAGGAGCTACCTTTAGTAGAAAAAATAAGAGCTTGCACATTTTGCAAATTTCTACTATCATACTTCTTGGTAACAGTTTTGAGGTTGAATATCTCTTTTAAACATTACCTGTACAGTATGTGAAGACTTCATTAAACTGAACGTGGCAAAAATTATACAAAACATATTACATATTACACAATTGCATAGTAAGCTTTTGGAGTAATGATCTCAATTAAATATTGCTAGATATAATCAATTGAATGTTATGATTTGAAGTTAAAATTTTCAAACGGAAAATTGTATAATAACTAAGTATAACATACTTTATATCCCACATACTAAGAATCTTGCTCTACGATTGGTGAAAAGTAAATCACGTGAGGAAAGATAGTTCGCCCATTATTGATGGGAGAAGCAAAAAGTTCGTTACACTGTGAAGATAGTACTACTATCTACACAGTGCAACGCACTTTCATTGAAGATAGAGGTACTATCTACAAAGGGCAACGCACTTTCACTGAAGATTATCCAAAACGCGCACTAAAACAGGCGTAATTAAGCGCGCATTACCAATGAGCGCAATTAAAGAAAACACATGCGCGCGCGCACCTTATCCTCAAGGGGTTGGGTTAAAAACTTAAACTTTTTTTGTGTGAATTTGGGCCTAGGTGTCTTTTATGTAGATGCATACACGTCCTTTTCTTTTTGTAATTAAATAGTTTTAGATGTGGAATATAAAGCAAATAATCACCTTTTGGTTTTCAGGCGATGGCAAACTATCACTTCCTCGTCGATCAGAATATATACGCTATCTTTCCTCAGCTTCGCTTTGGAAAGATAGCTACATCCAGATCGCCTCGGAAGTGATAGTTTGTCCCATCACCTTCACCAACGGTAATTATTTGCTTAATAACATCCCCTTCCTTGAAACTAAATACTATTGTAGTGGGCATAATGTTAAGAGGTAAGGTACCCCCTTCACTCTGAAACAGGGGAGGTCTGCCAAAATCCTAACGGAAATTTCATTTTTGGTTTGCATTTCTTTTCAACTCATTTATAATAACAGGTGACACGCTTTTATATCTGGTATAAGTTAATCTAGCTAGTGGTAATGTGACTGAACAAGTATTCATTATCTGTTCATGGCTACCCTTACAACTACACCGGATATTTTTTTATTAAATGTTTTTTTGCCCCACAGTTTCAGTTTTTCTTTTAGTTTGGTCACTCTCTTCCCCTTCTAACAACTGCATAATTATATCACTGAGACAAAAAAAAATGTATTAAAACACAGTATGAGGCTTACTGTCCTTTGGTGAAAATAGCATGGATCATTCTACCATCCTCACTGAGGGCGAAGTCCTCTGTAAGTAAAAAGAAGTGTGTTAACTCTGAGAAAATAGATTTGGTATAATTATACTGATACGTCATTAAGAATTAAATATTTTTTGTAATATATGTTATTTTCTACAATAGACTTAGTAAGACTGGATTTTAGTTGATTAGAATAAATCTTTTCCCCAATTTCCCTTTCCCCCCACTACCATCCTCTTCCTGCTCCCCCTCCTCCTCTTCTTCCTTATCATCAGCACCATCATCATCACAATCATCATTATCGCCACTACCACCACCACCGCCACCATCTTTACATAATAATCATATTCATCATCATCACCACCACCAACACTACCACCACAACAATCATCATCATCATTATCGCCACTACCACCACCATCACCACGATCCTTACATTATCATCATTATCACCACCACCACCACCGCCACCATCTTTACATCATAATCATATTCATCATCACCATTATCGCCACTACCACCACCATCACCATCATCCTTAAATTATCATCATTATCACCACCACCACCACCGTCACCATCTTTACATCATAATCATATTCATCATCATCATCATCACCACCACCACCAAAATCATCATCATCATTATCGCCACCATCACCACCATCTTCACATTATTATCATTATCACTACCACCACCACCACCATCTTTACATCATAATCATATTCATCATCATCATCACCACCACCAACACTACCACCACTACAACCATCATTTCTCTTCACCAGTACCATCATCATCATCGTAATCATTCATACCATTCAGATCGCGTTATTATTACCATCAACATCACCACTATTTTATCATCCAACCATTTCTATTACAAGTATATTCACACCATCATTATTATTATAACCACCGACATCTTCACGATGATCCCGTCACATCATCATTATCGTCGTCGTCGTAAACACTCTTCCATACTGTTTATACTTACGTATCTCATTATAATCCAAAGAAGAACCATCGGAATAATTTTGGGAGCACACAAGGCGCTGCTTCAAGAAACTGGTGAGGGTCATTGTACTTACAACATTTACCCCATAATCATTCTGCAAAGCAAACAAGATGTCGTGGTCACGGACTCTCAGTCCAAAGGTCCAGGGTTCAAATTAACGTTCGTTGACAATACATTAAATCACATTATATACCTCATTTTAAGATTCTTTACTAATCCTGTCTTCTGATTGGTTGAAAATGCAGTCATGGTCTTAACCATGCCCGCTAATTGAAATTCATAGTCATTTTTCCCGGCTCTATATCCATTTTTCATAGCACTTTTTCCATGGCTGTGAAACGTGACGTCATTTTGCTGCGATCCCCATTTTGGTTTACGTGTTACCGTATAAGTTTCTTTTGTGCGATGACCGATGCGCAATACCGTTAACGGTGTTTGAGTGCAATTCGATTTTGGTCGCTGCATTCAGGCGACGAATCTACCAATCCACGCAGCGCAGACGACCGATCGCCATTTTGTGTACTAGTCTCGATCGCAAAATACTGGGGTTTTTTGTTTCCAATTTTTTGTCAATAAAGAGGCAAAATGGAGGACACAGCTATGCCAAGATTTCAACTTATGGTGAGTCAACATTTTCCTTTTTTTCGGTATATAAAATATCTATTGACTGCTTTTAATATTCGAGGCATAGTTGTTTCTATAGGGTCTCGGGAAACTCACAACCTGCTATGACCCCGCGGCGCAAGCGCCTTGGGGTCATAGCAGGTTGTGAGTTTCCCTTGACCCTATAGAAACCACTATGCCTCTCAAAGCAGTCAATATATCCTTATTATCCACTCTCAATTTATGAACAAACACAGGAAATTTGCTGTGCGCATTTGGCCATCATTTACACGTTAAAAAGCCCTTGGGGGGGGGGGGGGGAGGGGGGGGGGGCTTACCAAGTATTTTCAACTTATTTTGTTTTCATACCATGCTATGAACATGAAGAAAAACAATTGATAGAAAAATAGTCATGTCAAATCGATTAGCAAAATGAAATCGAGAAAGCGGAATATTTGTTAGGTTCGTTATTTGAATATGAATTTGGTGGTTCAAGAACTCGTTTAAGAGCTATAAATTTGACGTAAGCACATTTTTATATCTTTTTATATTTTGGCAAAGTTAGGCAGCCCCTGAGTGATTTTTAACACGCACGCATGACGTCATTTAAGGTCACAATGGACTGAAATTCGGCAGTTTAGTGGTAAAAACTTGATTGTGATTGGAAGGTATGGGTTTTAAAAAATGTAGAGAAAGAAAGAAAGATTTTCACGATCAAGAGGTGATCTGCTGTAGATCACCTGATAATATCAACAATAATGATAATATTAATAATAATGATAATTATAATGCACTCCATTATTATTGCCCCGCCTTTAGCAAAGCTGACATTATTATTACCGTGCCTATTTAATGCTTAATTTAAAAAAATGATTTCCTTTACCTGACCAGAGAATTAAAAAAATAATGCAGTATTTTATGGAAATGTGGTCGTTCAATTTAGAATGCAATCTTCAAAATGCAAAATAATCACCGTAAGCACCGTAATCAACTTACAGAATAATCACCCATCACCTGACAACAATCATGTGCATAGCTACAATGTATAGTGCAACCTCAAGAAACTTTACCTGAAAAAAAATCATAATCAGGATCTTTGCCGAGGTCATGAAAAACAAACAAAGAATAACATAAAAGCTTGCGCAGAGAACCTGAATCCGTTTTTGGATCACTTCCTATTGTTTCTAATATGCCTGCGGCGACTAGTCTACCCACTATGTAGTTTTTATATTGACTAAAAAGTTTCATCAAGACTGAAACCTGTTTTGGTAATTGATGATTTTCAAGAATAAAATAAAGGATTGTCACTTTGCAATATATATTTTTTCCGACTGTTATACTTATAGATGATCTCGTAATCTTTCATGGGGATAACAGACCCCAAACGTGTGAAAAACTGACCTTGCAAATCCTAGCGATTCGGCTGTAGTAGGTGTTTATGCTCGGATCTTGGCCTGCACTTAAGCTAGCAAACTCCTGTGATGACTCACGGAAGAGGAAGTAGACGAAGTCGCCACTGACAAAAGGTGTTCCTACAAAGTGTGCCTCTGATTTCATAACAAAGGAAAATGGAAATTATAATGATGATGGTGATGATACTAATATGAATTTGTAACAACAACATCAACATCGATGATAATAACAATAAGACGAATAAGAAATGAAGGTGAAGCAGACTCGTCGATGTGTGATAAATCAATATCAATATCAAAATGGAAATCCGAATGATAATGGTGATAGTACTTCAATAATATTAACAACAACAACATCAACATCGATAATAGTAAAAAGAGGAAGAATAAGAAATGAAGGAGAAGAAGATTTGTTGATGTATAATAATTCATTATATTCCACATATCTTGCTCTACGATTGGTCAAAAGAAAATCACGTGATGAGAAATAGTTCGCCCATTATTGATGGGAGAAGCAAAAAGTTCGTTACACTGTGTAGATAGTACAACTATCTACACAGTGCAACGCACTTTCACTGAAGATAGAGGTACTATCTAACTGAATATTATCCAAAAGCGCACTAAAACAGGCGTAATTAAGCGCGCATTAGCAATGAGTGCAATTAAAGCAAACACATGTGCGCACCGTACCCTCAAGGGGTTGGGTTAAACTTTAAACAAAAATTGGTGTGAATTAGGGCCTGGTGTCTTTCATGTAGATGCATACACGTCCTTTTCTTTTTGTAGTTAGATTGTTTTAGATGTGGAATATTAAGCAAATGATCACCTTTTGGTTTCAGGCGATGGCAAACTATCACTTCCTCGTCGATCAGAATGTATACGCTATCTTTCATCAGCTTCGCTTCGGAAAGATAGCTACATCCAGATCGCCTCGGAAGTGATAGTTTGTCCCATCACCTTCACCAACGGTATTTATTTGCTTAATATCAATATCAATATGGACAATCATGATAATGGTGATGATACTAATATGATATTAAAAACAGGACATTCAACATCTAAATAATATAAAGAAGAATAAATGAAGGAGAACATTATAATTTTTGATGTGTGATATATAAACAACTGCATTGCAAATGGGCAAAAAATAACATAATCAAGTAGCCTACATATCATTTCTTTACAGTAAGTGTTTGCATTGCCATTTTTTGTTTAACATTGAACATACTTTTTTAAGGGTGTTTTTTATTACTATAACTGCAAGTACATAAACATGTAGAAAGGCAACAGACGAAACTTAGAAAATAATCAAACCAAAGAAACATACTCATTATTGTTGTTTATAATTAATTATTTTCATGTATCAGGCATAAATGTTCATTTCTATTCCGCCCTATCTCTATTCCTTCTTTTCTAAGCGCATAGGGACTTTCCTTTTGTTAATGATATTGCGCTATACAAATAACGTTCATTATTATTATTATTATTACTCACCATTAGCAACCATTTTCTCCAAATCGGTCATTGTGATAACTTTTCCGGTTATTACTCCGTCGGAGGTGACTGATGCCAAACCAACGATGGATTTTGGAATGTGACATTTTATCGTAAGTCCATAGTATATTATTCCTTCTGTAGTAGAATAAACACAGTTAAGCATACCGACCGTGAATTGGGTATAATATCTACAATCTTGAATGACTAGTTGTCAATTACATACATGTACATGTATCGTGTAGCTCCTTCTCCACCGGATGAAAAGCACTCTAAAATGCCATCCATTGGTCGGTGTGCAAGTTCCTTATATTATACATGTATATAACAATGACCAATTATTAAGTATTTGAAAAATCGATTTGTCTAGATTGATGCTCCTCGAGAATACGACATGCCTAAGCTTACATCTATTTGTATTCGAAAAGGCCTCAAATCAGTACTTTGTCTTTCAATGTTGTGATATTTTCTTTTAAACTGCTATGAATTTTCATGAAAATTATGGTTTTTTTTATACTAAAGTGCCCTTTTTCCTCCTATTCCTGTTTCAGTGTGATCGAAAATATTAATTTTGTATTCGTGTATTAAACAGCAAGATGCCCGCATAAATTTCACGTTTTACATGCATCAAGCAGGGACATGATCATGTATGTTTTTATTTAATTTCTACCATATTATAAATTTACAGTCGTATAGCCACATTGAACCCCACATTGAACAAACAAGAAAGAATATTTTCTGGATGATCGAAGAGTTTGAGACACTAAACAATTACCAGACCTGCCATGCCATTGCAATATACATGTACCACGAAATCTCCGCAACTTACCCCCGCCCCCAAGCGCGTACCCAGGATTTAATTTTAGGGGGGGGGGGGGGTGGGGGGAGTAGTGAGCGAATCACTTACAGAGCGCAGAAGCTTTGACGTTTCATTAAATTATTGGAGAAAGAAGATGATTCGTTGGACCGTTTTCGACTCTTAATCCTTATTTAAATTCAATTTCATTGGAGAAAGGAGACGATTCGTTGTATCGTCCTCGATCGTCTCTTAATCCTTGTCTGAATTCAGTTCTCTCCCTCCCCCTCCCGCGCGAAGCGCAGAAGATTTGACGTTTTATTAAATTATTAGAGAAAGAAGACGATTCGTTTTACCGTTCTCGACTCAAAATCCTTGTCTGAATTCAGTTTCTTTTGACGTTTAATTAGAGAAAGGAGACGATTCGTTGTACCGTCCTCGACTCTTAATCCTTGTTTGAATCAAATTCCCCTTCCTCTGCGCATAACACGGAAGCTCTGACGTTTCATAAAATTATTACAGAAAGAAGACGATTCGTTTTACCGTTCTCGACTCAAAATCCTTGTCTGAATTAAGTTTCCCCGCTCCCGCGCAAAGAGCGGAATTTTGACGTATAATTAGAGAAAGAAGACGATTCGTTGTACCGTCCTCAACTCCTAATCCTTGTTTGAATCAAGTTTCCCTTCCTCCGCGCGTAGCGCGGAAGCTCTGACGTTTCATTAAATTATTAGAGAAAGAAGACAATTCTTTGTACCGTTCTCGACTCTTAATCCTTTTCTTTCCTATTTTCTCTCCTTTCTTCTTTTGTTCTCTCTCTTTTTTTTTGGCCGGCGTTTTTTTACGCGCCTGCCGCCCCCCAACTCAGTGTTATTTAGGGTACGCATATGCGTGTTCCCTCCCTTTGAAAACAACCCCTAAGTCCGGTGTGTAAAAGTCAATGCGGGCCGCATTTTTGTGTACTACGAGCCGGACTTTGGTGCGTGAAAAGTACCCCTTCACCGGACATTTTGGTAACACGCATGGTATCCCTCCGTTCACGGAGTTGGGGGGGGGGGGGGGGGGGGACTTACCATGAAAAAGGAATGTTGCATTGTCATTCTTCCGATATTGGAACACCTCTCCTCCGTCAATATTGTCTGAAGTGCATCCAGTGTAATTAGTAGTAGTAGTATTATCGTAAGGTAGGTCCTGAGGTGGGTCATTTTCGATAAACGAGCAGTTCAGCTGTGAATTAGAGAAGAAAAATCAGGGTGAAAATAGAAACTCAAATTAACATTCACTACTTCTTCAAATATTGAATTCATTGTTTATTTGATCCAGGTTTCATGACTGTACCTAAATGTAACTATAATACTTTTTAAGAGAGTGGATATATTTACTTCTCGTTCGTAAAAAATGATTCAAAATTGAAGATAGATTGGCAACCTACAGACCGCCAATGAACAGAGAGACCTGTGAATTCACCAAGACTCATTTTACTTTGGCATTAGAATTATAATATGTTGGAATACTTTTGCAAATCTCATATAAAAATTAACATGTCAGACAATGATTAGATTCGGTCTCTTGAAAATGATTTTAGGAGACTTCCAAAATTGTAGTAAATGAAACCGAATTCACTATCGGCAAATGGGATGTCTGTATCGGGGGCCGGCGCACAGTGGGCCAGGGAGGAACCAAAGTGCGCCAAAACTAGTTTTGGGTGATCTATTTTTCCATTTTTTTTCTAGCCCAGTTGAAAGGTGAAACACTGAGGAAAATATTTAATTCCGGTATGCACAATAGGGATATAAATTTACTCCTTCATACAGGAAAATCCTGCATATTTACAGTTTTAGTGCAAAATCGACTAATTTCATAAATCTTTCAATTTAACATAAAGTTTTTAAGTCGTTGATATGAAATTGCTCTCACATATTCCTGATAGTTAATTTCGTTGCATGAATGGGTTAAAATTAATAGAAACACAATATTCATGATATGTTATAGGGTAATTCACTGAAAATTGACTAACTGTCCCTGTTTTTATTAATTCACTGGAAAATGTTTATATTTCCGCGGAGTTCCGCTAATATTTTAATACCACCATTTTTTTCTTTTGTCTAAGCTTAAAGTTGATACCAAATTTGGCTGCCCGATCTTGCCCGTTGTTATGCTAGAGCCGATTTCCCTTGCCACATTGCCCCGACATTTTTTCTTAATTTGTCTTGGTCCGCGGCTTAATCATGAAGTATTCGCGGTCATAAATCACGTGGGGGCGCGTGAAACATCTTCTGACACCGCGGACCAAAATAAACACATTTTTTCGGGGCAACGTTGCAAGGAAAACGGCTCTAACATAATAACGGGCAGAATTGGGCTGCCAAATTTGGTATCAACTTAAAGCTTAGACAATAGAGAAAATGGTGGTATTAAAATTTTAGATACATGTGACATTAGAGAAATGGTGGTATTAAAATGTTAGATACATGTGACATTAGAGAAAAATGTTGGTAATACAATTTAAGCGGAAATCCCTGGAAATCCAAACATTTCCTCTGGATTTATACGAAAATAAATCCCCCAAAATGAGTTTTGGCGCACTTTGGTTCCTCCCTGGCCCACTGTGCGGCGGTCTCATGGGCTTTCTGTATCGTGGGCTGTCGGTCTCAGGGGAAGTATGTCTCGTGCTAAGGGTTGTAGCCAGATTAGCCATATAAAAGGATATTTAAAATCGTATCTTACCATTGAACCATCATAATCGCAGAATGCACACCGTGGAAGTTCAGCATTGGTTCCACATGCTAAAACCCTGCAACTTCTACTATTGCAGGTTTGGCCAAGCGTAGTCACTCCTCTAATATAGTTATCACAATCCTCCTATACACACATTTAAAGGTAGAAATTAATTCTTAAATAATCAACGCATCACTTTTAATCACTTCTCTTTACAAGCTGCGACACTGGCAACAAATTTGATTTTAGTGACTTTGCCAAGTTGACTGCAAAATTCAGGTAATTCATAGTACCAATGTTTGAATTGACGGTATACAATTACACACATGTTACTCCTCTCATATTGTGAGAAATTTCATCCCTTCAATTTTCATTCCCATATGTTTTTGTGCACAAATTATAACATGATTTTGAACTTACACTGAAGTGATTAATATTCATCCCATATACACCGCAGTTGAAATGACATTTATTTCAAACTGCAATATGAACTCAATTCCAGTAGTGTCATTTCATATTCAAAGGTGTAATGCTTGATCATTAGCATCATCATTAATAAATTAGGGCTTATGAAGTACAATTGCACAAAAGTAATATCATTTTTTGGAAATTTGAAGAAACTTGCAAAACCATTTCGCGAATTATGTAAGTGGTTCAGTTTCGCAAAAGCTGAATGCTAGGTAAAATGCAGTTAAATCACAACTAATACAACACAACAAGATATTCACTTTGCCAAAAAAAAAATTGTTGCCATGAAAATAACCGTCTATATATAACAATTCATAAAAGTTAAAGTCACACAAGGATTCTGGTTATTACAGTAAATTATAAATGACTGTATCAGGACAAATTTATCCCAAGACAATCACCCCGGGAAAAATACCCCCTGGTAAATAACCGCCGAGGACAATAACCCCCTCCCGGAAAATCACCCCCTAGGACACTCACCTCTCGAGGACATTCCCCCCCCCCCCCCCGTGGACAATAACCCCCTAAGACATTTGCCTAAAGACAAGATATAATGTGCGCCCCCCCCCCCCCCCCCACAAACACAAAATACACACACTCGGGGGTGATTGTCATGAAGGGATTTTTTCCCCGGGGTAATTGTCCCGCTTGTAAATGGCCTGGGGTGATTGTCCGGGGGTTAATTGTCAAGGGAGTATTGCTCTAGAACTATATGTGGATGTTTATGGAAAGCCATAGGGGAAAAAAACTAAATATATTCGATCCCTGCAAAATGTATGGGTCAGTATGAATATGTATACACATAATTATATTCGATGTTTATAAGAAATATAATGCGCCATTGAAATATATTCGATGTTTTATTAGAAATATATGGGTAATCAAAATATTCTATGTTTACAACTAAATACTTTTTTTCTACCTTTAGGGAATTGGTTTCCTGTATCGAGATTCTGAGTTATATATATATATTTGTTACTTCATAATGTTTATTTGCCAAGAATCAACTTTGCATTAGAGAAATTTGCTCTAATGTGAAGCAACCATATTCTACGATCTGAAAGCAGATCACCTCTACACATTTTATTTTCGGGAGTTATGTATAGCAATATAAGTATTGATGCAGGAAACCTGGTAATGTTTGGCGTTGATGAGGATGGAAAACCAAGACAAATACAAATTGAAAGCAATGCCCAGTATTCAAAGACTATCAAAGGCAAAGGAGCGCAAATATTTTTTTATTTTTACTAATATATTTATTTATTTATTAATTTATTAAAACATTTTTTAACAGGATAACATTGATCAACTCGCCGGCTGTTTTACATAATGGTTCTGCATAAAGAAGGAAAATAAAAATTCAAGACTTGACAATAAGAGTAGTTACAAACAAAATAGCAGTTTTATACAAATGGTAAAAAACGAAACAACACAAATAGGAAAAATAAGATAAGGGAAAAACGAAAATAGTGAAGAAAAAAAATATGCATAAGTATATGTAATTTCGTAGACAATATAGGGCTAGCGATCATTTTTAGTTATTATTGCATACATTGCTGTAGTAGTAAGGAGGAACGGCAGTGAACACATTTGTCGATTAAAAGGAAGGTTTTTTATATTGGTGTTTAAAGCTGTCAACTGAATTGAAATTTTGGATATTATTGGGAAGCTTATTCCAATTAACCGCTCTAGCATACTTAAAATATTGTTTGAATAAGGTCACGTTGGGTTTAGGCAATACTACATGTGGAGAGTTTGCATTTCTTGTATTAAGACCATGGCGGTCGAAATACATTTCTATTTCGTTTGATAAGCGAGGTGGAGCAATGCCCCTTATACATTTGAACATAATCATAGCCTGAAAATAATCACGGCGGTGGTCAATAGTTTGCCAGGAACGTTGTGTTATCGATGCGTTGCCGCTTGCAATTTCATAGTCAGAGATACTAGTTACATATCTAGCAGCTCTTTTCTGCAATCTCTCTGAAGGGGCATCTTGTAGCTGGCTGGGCAGTTTCCCCATACATAGATTACATAGTCTATACAGGGTTAGATTATTCACTTATAAAGGTTGTTCAATAGTTCTGAGTTTAGCAATTTACTCAGCTTTCCTAGAGAATAAATGTTATAAGCAATAGATTTACATAAATCTCTTAAATAGAAATTCCAATTCAAGTTTTCATCAATCATTATATCTAAGTATCTCACATATTTTACCTGTTCGATCAGTTCATCTTTTATGAATATATTCAATATATCAGAGGATCTTAATTTGATAAGTATTGTTTTGGTTTTACTTGTGCTAATGCGTAATCGATTTTGATTATACCAATTATTTAGAGCGTTAATATATTTTTGTAATTTCTTTTTGACGTCATCTAACTTACTTTTTGCAACAAAGACTTCAACATCATCAGCAAATATGGTGCAGGCGCCTTCAGTTATACATTCAGATATATCGTTAATGAATATTAGGAACAAATTGGGAGCCAAGACACTGCCCTTTGGTACCCCGATTGAAAGCTCTCTTATATCAGATAGTTTTCCTTTGGAGTATACTACTTGCTTCATATTACTTAAATAGTTTTTGAACCATATGAGCCTATTTTCAGTAATTCCATATTTTTCAAGTTTGAATAAAAAAAAGCTCTTATTTTTCTGTACAAAGATATTTTCTGGTACGAACGGAAATCTCATGCGAACAACAAAAAAAAAATCACAAAAACATCCGGGCACGCATATATTACGGGACCTAACGATATAATTTATGTTTTGGCACATATAAATTGTCCAATCTAGTTGTTGTGTTTAACCAATTTTCTTTCCTTGCACATAAATATATTTTGTTTGCATATAAGTTTGTGTTTGCATATATTAATAAAGAATGTATTAAAAACAAAAAAAGTGTATATTTTGATAGCGCATGCATTTTTTTAAATATTCAGAATACTTTAATAACGCATTTATTTATTTTACACATCGCATATATTCTTACACATATATATTTTATATTTTAAAAGCGCATATATTGCTTATAAACATTGAATATATTTTGATACTGACCCATGTACTTTTCAGGGATGTAATATATTTAGTTATTTTCCCTATGGCTTGCCATATATTTTGAAGACAGGAGCTTTCTATTACTCACCACATCAGAATGTGCTTTGTAGCAACCCGTGTAACCTGTACTATAACATACCCCCAAATACTAAAACATAAAGGAGATAAATAATTAAATAATTAATAAATAAAATACATGTACATACATATACATATTCATAGATATTTCGTTTCCATTGACTTGTCGAGACTTGTCGAATTCATTATCCGGCAAATCCGATTTAAAATGTCACATAGTCATGTAGACTGCCATGTGCTTTATTAAATGTCATCACGTTTAAGCAAAGCCAAACAGTACAATGCACGTCTTTCCTTTTACTTAGATTTAATCTTAATAATTATATAAAGACTTTATAATCACTAATATTATTTTTACTATCATCGCCCCCTTTTTTCTCTCTGAGAATATAAAACAAAAATGTTTGATGAAAGCCAAAGAAATTACACATGCACACACCACACCAGTATCCTTAACTTTGAATGAATGAGAATTAACGATTCATGGAAATCGTGTGTCCTGAACTTTAAATGAATGTGAATGATTGATGGAAATAATGCATCTCTAAAATTAGGGCTTGACACGTATACATGGACACGCACAAATTAAGTCTGGACCTCCAAAATTTCAATTTTTGGCATATTTTTCATGCAAGAAGTTCTTAAAAAGTAAAATGCAGAAAACCCCTTTCTTAAATTATAGGGTAGATCCTTAACAATGCCAACATTAAAAAAGAAATTCTGAACGTACACATTTATCTTGGTGCATACATACATACCCCAGTATTGACATTGTCCCCGTCAATTATTGTCAACGTCTGATTACTTCCAAGGAAGATCAAATCTCCTGCTCCAGATCTTTGGTAACCATCAACGACTCTGACATCGTCCTTCATAAATTGATCACCTCCCTCTGCAATGAAAATGAAAGCAGTTATTGTTTTAACACTCTTCACATTGAACATCTACATTCTTGAATAAAAGAAGACTTCATTTTTAACTGATCTTCTGAGTCAGCGTTGCTCTTTCATAATAAGATTAAGATAACATTTAAAAGAAAAAAATACATCACAGAGACTCTCGTTCTAACTGACGTAATAAAGTTTAAACATTTAAACAAACTGCACATAGCTTTCAAAGAAGTAACATACATGTACATGTTAGTTATCTCATGGTTGCAGAGAGAGAAATAACTTAAAATAAAACCCACTTACTGGTATCATGAAAGGAACAACAATCTAAAAACAAACCAAGAAAAACCTACCACATATTTCGATTACAGCGCTGCATACTCATGCAAAATGAAATTGAAATGTGAGTTATAATACGTAATTCATTCTATTCACTAGCCAAGTCCAAGTGTCCAAATGACACAGTCGCCATTTTCTGCTCAAATTTTTCTGGTATTTTTGACACAATTACTCTTAAGAATGGCAGGTCTGATATGAAATTATACATTAAACAAGTATTCAAATATTCTCGTTAAATTTCAAGACACGTGAGTTGTTCTATATAGCGGCACGTTTACTTGGTCTGTTTTTTGTCTTCGCCTACACCACGTCTCGAGCGACCCCTTTATGAAACTGAGTTACATCTTTCGCAGGGTGACGTTAAAGGTCGGTCCCAAAACGTAAATAATCATATCTGATTAATATACGTCCATCAAAACACAATAACACACACACACACACACACACACACATTCAAATGAAATCTAAGAAACACATTCTCCACCATACTGTACTTACCACAAGTCAAAATAGCTTGCTCACTAAGGCCTGTGAGACAGGCTGTGTACATGAAAACTGCTAGTAACTGTCCCCTCAACATGCTTGAAACTGAAATGATAATGTGAACAGAGAAATTAATGACCAAATATGGATCGTCTCGATAATTTACAAATCCTATACTTCGTATCATGAGTAGTAAACAATAATAATAATAACAATACAAATACAACTACTACTACTACTTCTGCTATTAAATGATAATAACAACACTAACAATAGGCCTAATAAAAATAATATCAATGATAATAAATATATTAATAATAATATTTAACAAATATAATAATAATAACAATAATAGTAATGATAACACCAATAACGATGATTAGAATTACAATGTAAAATGATAATAATAAAATAACAATAACAACAATAATAACAATAACAATAAAATGAATGATACTACTACTACTAATAATGATAATGATATTTGATATAATAATAAACATACCAACATATATATTGAAGGGCCTGTGTTATTGGGTGGCTGTTTTCCCATCTTCATGCATTTAAACTACCCATCATTATAACCAGGAAATTAAAGTCATAACTTAAGTGACTGTACTACTTACCCTACAGGTATATTCTTCTTATTTGGTCTATCGACAAACAGAAGATTTAAAGGTCCGATTTTAAATGCATGGACCAGAATTTCCTATTCCTATCAAATAATTATTTTAAGATAACAATAATTGATTCCTTTACAGAATTGGCCTATTTTCATGTTGACATAATCACACCTTTGTCACCAGAAGTTTGACTGCATTGTCCAAAGAAGCAGCACAAGACTTAAACATCTATTTAGTTTCCGTTTAAGTTAATAAAAAAGGGTTTTCGTAATTGTTTTCTTCTTCGGTACTCATCATTTTTATATACAGTATTTTACGAAATCTCCCTGTAGGCTGTTATTCAGACTGATTTTGTTCTTTCTGGTGTATATACTATTAGGAATTGTCCAGTTTTCATAGAAAACATCTTTTATGAACCCCCTAAACCAAATGATCCTGAGGAGCTCGAGAAAATGCATATATGTCAGCAGCTCCCTGGTTGTAGAACAGACAGATCAGGTCAACACCCAGCCAGTCTACTATCCATATGGTCTAATAATCATTTCGTCTACTCATTATTCGGTCGAATTTCCAAAGTCTACTACCTTTTTGATATATCACTCATTTGGTCTAATTACCAGTCGATCCAATGCCAAGTGTGTTTAATGCCTATTTCTTTTTACCATACACATGGTGTAATAAATATTTCATCTCAAATAATAATAATCATCAAATGATTATTTTGCCTCATGGATGGTAGAGGAAATAGGCATTACACAAACTGGGAATTAGACGAAATCATTATGAGACCATGTGGATAGCATGCGTGCTGAGTGAAACCCGATGGGAATAGACTAATTGAGTAGTAGACGTACTGGTTGTAGACCAAACGGCAATTCACCACTACAGACACACCTGGACGATTCCATGCTATAATATGAAAAAAACTACAACTCAAAAATTAGAATTGATCTTCATAGATAGAAAATGCTGAACTATTCTAGGTAGATATCTTAACTTTCCAGAAAAGGTAATTTTCTTTCCTATAGCCTACATGCTCTTTGGGGAAATTCTGTACTACCATTTAAATCTACACTAAAAATAAACCTTCAAATTATAAATGCTGTACAAGACACTAAATGAGGATATGGTTAGTGTTTTACAGCGATTAGAGATAATCATGTTGCATATTAGCAGGTGATATTACATTTTCAAAAAAACTTTAAAATCCCATGTTCATACGACATGCAGAACTTTGATTGTCCCACAAATCAGTTCTAAAAGCCTCGGACTAAACGACAACCAATTTCTTCATAAGCCTTGTGAGAAACTCACAAGTCCCAACTAAAGATGAATATGTTTACTCATAGAAAATAAGTCATTACATATTTTCCATACGACATGCAGGATGCAGATAGCACGTAGTAATGACATGTTCGTACAACATGACAGCTTACGCTGTGTTTACAAATTGTTCCATATACAGTCACCTAGACTTTGGTAGGATTTCAAGTGATTAACAAACATTGCCTGGATGCCTATCTGCTTTACAACACCCTGTATGCTTAACAAAATCCTATAAAACAAAACAATCTTGAATAATAATGGACAATATCTAATACACAATGCGGGGGAGGGGGGCCTTGAGAGGGGAGCCGATCAGACTATCGGTTTACAATAAACTTCTCTGTTAATTATCTACTTTTGATTCATTTTTGATAATTTGTATTTTGCACATTATAGTAATTCAAGTGTTTTTTAATGTTCTTATTCTTCATTTTTACCCATGCCAATAATGTTTTTCTTTGTTTTGAATTGATTCGTTTACTTTGCATAAATATGTTTTGTTATATTTTGTACTGGTTTCTGTTTGTGATATAATTTGTATATTTGTTATTCATTTAACGCGGACTTTCTGAAAACCAGCCGTTTAGGCTGAGAGAGTTACCGTGTTTAAATAAATAATGGAAATGAAATCAAATGAAATACACTCAGATTCAATATCATATAGAAATTTGACTGATAATTAAAGATAAAGGTGAGTTCTGGTAAAAAAAGAAAATGAATTCTCACAGAATCAAACAAAACTTACACTGAAAATTGAAGGTTACAAATAAATGTCATTTGCCAAACAATTTTGGTAGAAAATGTATACTGACTGAGTAATGAGCATAGAAAGATTAGATATCAAGGTTAGTAGCCCTGAAACTTTTCTTTTTGTTCCATATACATCTTTCTGTGTACAGTGCTTCTTACTTTACCAAGACTGGGTCAAATTTATTATGATTTTGATGACTCCAAAACCTTGCAGTACACACCAATAATTACATGCTACATGATCAACTTTTTCTGATCCATTCCACACCTTTTCTTTCACAATGCAATCGCATGACCAGAAATCACCTTTATCTTTAAGACAGAGATGGATTTTGACGCGAGGAGTATGCATCCATTGAAATAAATATAAAACTCTATATAATAAACGAACTTTCTCTACCGTAATGTTATTGATCTGTATATAGTTAATTAGTTTGATAACATTGCCTCTTGCTCTCTTTTCCATATGTTGGACTAAGTGTTACAAACCAGGTGAGGTTCCCTAGTTCATGATACCGATTATCTTATATCGGTTTATTATTGAGTCCCCATCGTTACTTATTGTATTTTTATTTGCATCATCATGTTACTGTTGAAACACTGTGATATTAAAGTAAGAGCGTCTAGATTAAGCACAATGTTCATTATTTATTTAGATTAAACATAATTTTCATTTCATTTGTAAAGCGCGTAGCAAATGTATGTGTTTACCAGCGCCTTATGAATCTTAGATATTATCCTTATTATGTGCTTCAATCAACATTATAGGCAATTAAAATGGTCTCAAACAGAATTACCAACAACCATTCTATGTTATGGGAATCATTATTTTCAAAGTGTGCTTCTTTTTACAAAATATAGATGCATGGAACTTAAATTTCATGTTGATATGTTAAAAGGTTCGACTGAACCCACCCTGATAGATCAAGGATTTTTGGAAGGGGGCACTATGCCTCAAAATATCACAATGCATTAAGGGGAGGTATAGCCCCCTAGAATATATTAATGACTGAAGCGATGCATGCTTTCCGTAAGGTTAATGATAAAGCACATGCAAACCCTAATACTGCTTGTATAATTACGATACCGGAGTGATTTTGTACAGAAAGATTGGAAAAGAATAAAAACGAAATGGAAAAGAAGATATAAAAGGAATCAGGACAACATTAAAACGTATTTCCCACTCTCTCTCTCTCTCTCTCTCCTCTCATCCTCCTTTTCTCCTCCCTTTTTTTCTTCTCTGTAAGGTGCATCTTTATGTTAATTTTGCATCCAATTTAGTATGATATGCTAATAAACCATGAATGTATAATTTTGTGCTGTAATTTACCTTGCATGTCTTTGCATTATATATGTATGTACATCCTATGTAGTACAAATGTTGAGTTGTCACGTGCTTTTTAACATATAACCTTTTAATCCAACACGAATCATTGAAGAGTAATAAATATAATTCACAGTTATGAACTAACAAATAACAAATGAAAACAAAAATAGAAATCATATTCGTTGTTAAGTATTTAAAACTCATGGGTTGAAAACATATGGGTTGATTAATGGTCTATATTCACTATTCGGGGTTGGGGGGGGGGGGGGCTGAGGTTGGGGTTCTTTGTTTGCACTAGAAGTCTACAATATAATATCCAAAGTACGTTTGCTTTGATTGTACAGTAACTGTGCACGCAGAAAGCTTATGAGTTGGTGCGTGCACTTGAATTAAAGACAATTTTAATAGACCATTATCGTAATATAATCAGATTTTGTTCATAGTTCATTTTTAAGTGCCTTGTTGCAAAGTATTTTAATTAACCTTATACAAATGATTATATCTTAATAGCCAGAATGAAAATTGTATACATTAATTGTTGATTGGTAGGCAGACTTGGGACAAAATGATACTTTTCTTTTTTTCAACACAATATCGCAATTTATCCTTTCATTTTTTTTTTCATTTTTGTATTAACGATATCCAAATATTACTTTTTATAGTTGACACAAATTGGATATCCTTCATTAAATGTACAGTAATGATATGTAACACTGGAAGGCAGAAAATGACATCTTTGAAAACAGAATTAACATGCTATTCCAAATTGTCTTCATGTGATTGTGATCTAACATATTACATGAATAAGGAAGAATACAATAATAATACTTGGGGTTCATAGGAAGACAATGTATCTTAGTCTGCCGGATGGTGACGTTAAATGTCGGTCATCAGACGTGAATAATCGTATCTGATTCATACACGTCTGTATACAAATCTAATGACACACGCACACACACACTCTCTAGGTACTTTTACTGGTACTACTATCCGGGTAATTGGATTCAAGTTTGTCCGCACACAAAATATGCACATTATCCAACTCCTTGGGAAGCATTCGAACCAAATGCCCATTTTCAGACGCTCAACAAACTTCACCCATATGACTTAATTTGTATTGAGATAATGAAATTAGATATATTTTCCGTCATGTATAGACCTACAGTGGCGGCTAAGGAAGGGTCTTGATAGCCTCATGCACTTTAATGAGGCAAATTTGCATAATTAATAATATTGAATATTGTTTGAGAATATTTAAAAATCTAAAATTACACAAAGGACTGCCACATTTAACAAATATTGCATATAAGTACTTGTATTAATTTAAGTGATACAGGTACAAATGTCAAATATTGATAAAACAAGCTATGCTTTCCGGGTTTTCGCCTCCTTCCGTATCTGAATTATTTACTGTATTCTCTATGTTGAAATAATTGTTACATATATCATGTATATATAAATTGTGTTTCATACTGTACGGTTGAGAAGGAAATAAATGTTAATAAATAAAAATACAATACAAAACAAATACTATTTTTTTCCCCAAAGTTCGGGTATTTTAAAATTACACCATCTGTAATTTGTAAGTGTATTTTATGGAATCGTATACTTGTTGATAGGCATTGAATGTTACATGTAGGGGTAGGCTTGCAACCAATGCAAGTGTGCATTTACCCATTGGCTAAGGGGAATCTGGGGCTTTGGGTCTCTGGACACTCCGATTTGACGGGCAATATTTTTCAACTGATCACAGCGCAACATTTCGTGAATATTTATCCTTTATGTTAATTGTCCAACACAAGTTTGAGAGGATTTATGAAATATTACTTATAAACTTCAACAAATTGTTGTTTCAAATCAACTTTTCGGATACACTACTTGTCCGGACACACAACGTCTGAATATACATGTGCATTACAAACATTGCACGAATAGGAATTAGACAACTCAGTATTATAGTCAAGCAGTTAAATGAAAATTCTATCACCACCAACCAATGCAAGGATCAAAACACACAATCTTGTTCGACCATTCTGAGAATAAATGAATTACATACAAATGAATGTCTAGAATCTAAGATGTCTTTTGATGAAAACCAGTACTACTACTAGCACCTATAGCAGATGCCTGGCAGGAACCGACACATTTTCCCATTCCCTGCTCTGTTGCTATAAAGTTAAACTTACCCGTTGAGCTGCTTGCCTGATACCGTCCGAGTGATATTGTAAAGAAGTGTATTGTTCCCAGCATTGGATAAATCCTTTAACATATCGGAAAGGAAGACTGGTTGTATCCTTTTATCAATCTGTGAGCTGGGACATGAATGCTTTTAAGCGAATCCAGATCATGGGCGCGGCGAATTGTGGTTGATCAAAGGGCACACAAATACTTGGCACATACGGGAATTCCCAGAAAGGGCAGGATAGGGTTGGGGGTGATCCGAAAACTTAATAAGTAAAATTCCTTCTATTTGGCATTCGGAACGAACGACAAATAATCACCAATAGTACTAGCCATCATCATTGATATTTGTCCTACATAATGTAGGATTACCCGGCCAAATTCGCGAGTTTGTCATTGAAAATTATTTGTCTTTCGTTTAAATTCGACGTCTTTAGCGTTGTCAGGTATATCTCGGGTTTGTATTCCTGTTTCTAATTTTCAAATCTATGAAGTATTTGTTAGAATATATGTATGTTTCTTTCAAATTAATGAACAATGTGCTTCTTTCGCTATGTGGTCATTCGATTAGGCGCATCACGATTTTCTGACATCGTGACGGAGAGCTCTTAGCGTTTAAATTTATTTGTAGAATTTAAATTAGCACTTTGTGCACTTAGATTGATGGTCAATAATCATTTCTCGTTTATAAGACACTTTTCATAGCTCATTATTTTTCTTTCAAGAATGTTTGTTTTCATGTGTAGTTCATCATATTATTTTTCTTGCATTTACACATTATAGTTATTAGATTTATTAGATATTCATCAGGTTTTAAATTTGATTGTTAAAAGAAAAGACTCGCATCTACGGACTTGATGGATTCAATATGTTTGTAAATTGTCACATAAGAAAGTTGTTTGTCTTGTGTTACATCCTAAATTTATCATAATTTCATCATAATTTCATCATAATTTCATCATAATTTCATTGCGGAGGAAGAGTACAATAATGTGATTGGGTTAGGGACTAGTGTCACACAATTTGAGCGTGATTAATTATTTAGCCAAGTCTTCAGCCAACGATCTGCTGACGGACAAGGCATCGGAGTATGTAGGTCTGCATTCTGCGATATGATCCCATGCATTTATCCTGTGTGCGGCGTCAACGTTTCTCCTGGCTATACGACAAACGATGTCTACTCGCCACCTCTCCATCGTCAGTCCTGCCTGTTAAGCAGCGTCCCGATCACCTATTGCCTGCTGCGTATCAGGACGTGCCAAATCTTTCTTAAATGTTGATTTAAATGCAGAATGGGCGTTATCGGTGTAGTTAAGGAACGGAGAGTAGGGAGGAAGGAGCTTAACCTGGGGGGCGTTTCACAAAACTTGTCATCAGTGACAAATGAAACTTTATGTTATAAGCTACTGAAATCCTTGCTTCTGCTTGGTTATCAGCAGATTTGTCACTGATTTTTGTTATTTGTCATTGAAAAAAGGCTTTGTGAAACGCCCCCTGGATGAGTGGCTCAACGTCGGGCGGAAGCTGAGCCCTCACGTGTGGTCTGGCGTTGTCGTATATTAACACGACTGGTTCCCCTGGAGGGAATATGATGGAACACTGGCGTGCCGTTTTTGCGAGGAAGTCCTCGAAGCTGGCTCTAGTAATTGTCTCGCATGAAACATCGGGGTGCACTATGCCTACCTCTCCTGAGACAGAAAACGTAACATTGCATCTCTTGCCACGTTGCCCATCGGTTACCTGCTACATACAGTTTGTACACATTTGGAAATAACTGGTACATATGCTAGGGTGCTCTTTGTAAATTTCTCCTCTGCATTTAATACGATAGTTCCTGGAACCTTGGTGAAAAAAACTAAGCAGTTTTGTGAATCCCAAATTATGTCAATGGTTAAGGGATTTCATGACAAACAGGGTGCAACAAGTACGTTTTGGAAATGTTAAATGTTTGGAAATGTTAAATAAGACGACTTAGCACAGGCACTCCACAAGGATGAGTGCTCTTGCCCATCAGTTATACCTTGCTTACTAGTGATTTATCTTGTTCGAATGTTTCATCTTGTCACGAAGTGAAGTATGCAGGTGACAAGTCTTGTATCATTCACTTGATCACCAACAATGATGAAGTTGCATACATGGATACCGTTGATAAGTTGGTGCGAAGATAATTCACTTGTTCCAAATGCCACAAAACTCATGAAATGATCTTTGACTACCGAAACAAATATTGGCACAAATCATTTTTCCCTGTACATTGATTGGAAAGCCATACAACAGGTGGCTGAATGTAAATACTTATGAATTGTAATTGATAACAAACTGAAGTGGGATAGTAATTCCAAGGTAATATAAGGCATAGGTAACCAGTGTATGTATTTTCTAAGAACGATGAAAGCATTACATGTGACAATTGTAACAATGTTCCTGTTCTACCAATGTGTCATTCAGTCAGTCGTCTGCTTTTGCTGTCTAGCCTGGTTTAACAGCCTTTATAATATGAAAAAGAAAGCAAACTTGAATAGGATAGTGAAACATGCCAGCAGAGTAACTGGGGTATCTGTGAAAGAGCTTGACGATGTTACAGAAAGGGCATTATTGGCTAAGCTTATAATGATTGTGAAGGATTATAATCACCCTCTGCATACGGAAGTGGTCTTTAAAGTGGAAATTCAAAGAAAATCACAAATATGTCAACTTACGTACCACTAGAAACTGGTAAGCTAACAGATGGGCACCGTACACGTTTTAGGTCAACTACATATCGGGTGATTTATAAAAATAAAAATACAACCACCTCCATAGCATCTGGGATATACGAGAGATTCGCCAGAAAAATAACGATGTTTCAATGACGTCGCATAATGGACCAATACTGCCCAAGTAGACGACATCTCATAAAGGATGAACATAATTGTAAAGCTATTATTTCTCAAATTATAATGAGTTTAGTGTATATAAATGTGATGGCATTTCATATTATTCAAAAGGGGATATAAAACCGATTATGATAACTAAAATCTTTAGTTTGTAAATACACAGGTTTGGGGTTAATTAACATTCAATGAAACTAGACTTTCAAAATGAATAACCCTCGGAATGGTATGAAGGTCGGCATCATTTTGTTCCCTCTTAAAACGCCGAACATAATATCGTGGTGTGTGCAGTTGAATATACAATGACGTCTTATTTTGTTTACAAGCGACAGATTCCTTTATTTTTGTATCGCTGCATTTGTCATCAAAATAAAACCATGCGCGGGGTTTAGAGTGAAGCAATATATTATACATTTAGCCTGACGGTAGTAAAGTAAGAGAAATAACTCAAGAAAAGATAACAAAAAAAAAAAACAGGCGCTGAAAATGCGTTAGATGTCATGGGACATCGTGTGCTTGTGCAAATCATTTTTATCCTGTGATCTCACACATCTCAGCAGCGTTCGGGAAAGCTCTTCAGGTGATATGCCGGGGCTGTATTTAAGCGTTTTGTAATTTATAATAATCATTACTCCGAATGTTTCCAAGCATTGAATTTTGTTAACTTTGTCGAATCAAAGTTTCAACTTTGCAATAATGAAAATAAAGTTAGTTTTTAAAATCAATGAATATCTACTTTAACAGATCAGGAAGAATAAGGCTGCCAAGAATAAGGTTCGGCATGTCCTTTCTCCCAATACAAGTGTACTAAAAGTATTTTTGTTGTTGTAGATGAGCGATCCTGTTCACATCCGATTACTTCCCCTATCCTCTCATTCTATCTATCTATCTCTTTCTTTCTCTCCTCTCTCTTTGTCTCTCTCGGCTTTTATAAGGACAAGGGAGGAGAGGTCCTCCCTGCTGTTATGGTTGGTTGGTTGATAGTTTTTGATGGAGGTAGGGAGAATGTGAGTGACATGTGGGCCTATCAATTCGACAATACATTTAATATTTCTACTGCACTTTCCCCTCTTTCTTCTCTTTCCTTTTCTCCGCTTTTCCTTCTTTCTTCTTTCTGTCTTGTCTCTGTTCTCTCACCCCTCGTCTCTTCTATTAGTCCAGCCTCTGTACCGTTTCCGTTTAGCGCACCCAATCAGCTGATAAATAACACACCCTCAACGTTGAAAGTAGACCTAGCCATTCCTCTCAATCTGGACCTCGTGTGGACGGAAATTTGGGGGTTGCGCGATCAGTGGAGATACCGCGGTGTGTGTGCATAGATGTGTGTGCATAGATGCATGTGGTAGAAGAATAAAAACAAAGAACGGCCTGAATCTGGACTACTCTTATTATCGTCTTTCAACTGTACAATACTACTCCTCCATATATATGTACCTGTACGCGTACCAGCTTACATTTGTCTTTTTTGGCATGTACATAGTGTTTCATAAGTTATGTAATAATGCAACAATAATAATGTCTATAATTACAAAGCAATGTTTTTGAATAAAATTGTACATGCATAATCTTACACTGAACTGTTCCTCTCTTCCTTTCTCTCTCTCTCTCTCTCTCTCTCTCTCCCCCTCTCCCCCTCTCTCTCTTTCTCTTTTCTCCTTTTCTTTTTTGTTCTCTTTCTTTCTTTCTCTCTCTCTTGTCTCTCCTCTTTGACATCCAGTATGGTATACGGATAGTATTTGTCTGCTAGCAAAAATAAACAGTTTTTATCTGAAATGTTTAATAATTAATTGTCGATCTTGGCTGTAATTTGTTCCATTTATATGTCATTGATTGTTGTCATGTACATTTCATGGAATATATTTAAGTATTTATTTGCTGTTGGAAGAGACAGAAGAAATGGCTTGGACACATCATGCGGCATGATGATAGCTTTATGATCAGAGTCCTAGAAGGTCGTCTACATGGAAAGAAGTTGAGGGGAAGACCTCGTAAAGGCTTTCTAGATGATTTGATTGCGGAATGTGAAGCAACGGGATATGAAATGCTGAAACGGATGGCTAAAGACCGAAGTACTTGGAAAGACATTTGAATTAGAACTCTGATTGGGTCACTGAACCTGTCATAAACTGACAGATCACTATTGATGATGTTGGAAGCCAGGGGAGTACAACAAAATACGGGTTGGCATTCCTCTGGCTCTCGACAGAGAGATTAAACTATATTACATTGTTATGTTTTGATGTCAATTGTAGTTATTTGTTTCTGATATGTTAATGTATATTTGATACAAATGTGAGTCGTAAAATGATTGTCATGCCATCCTTTTATTTGTGCATGACAATAACGAAATTAAATTTTTCGAACCGGTTGACCGCGCTGTTGTCTGCCGAAGGATCGACGAGTCCAGATGTTTTAGCCGGTTACGTCAATGAAAAAAGTGTGGGTGACCAAGCCTTCTGTCAAAAGCCACTAAGCATACTACACCCGACGATCAGGAGTTGCTTGTGAAATTCTCCCCTCTGGCACATCTTCAGCTAAATTGAGGGTAATAAACATACCATCTAGAGCTCCAGATAAGGTCGAAATGGAAACTGCTGGCTTATGCTTCATCTGCTCTAACGTGGCAAGAGGGTACTCGTTTGTATTTCCAAGCATAGACTAAGAAGAGTTCCTCTTCAGGTATGGCTGGTATGGAAACGACACTGTTTCATGCATTCATGGACATACCAAATGTGCTCTCTACAAATGCAGATTTCCTACCAGTGTCATTAACGCATTCAAAAGTAACACTTTAACCGACTCCACATTTCGAACATCTGGGTTAAAAGTAATGCAGATCACATAATTATGGCTGTGGTGATACTCCCCTAGAAAAGTCTCGCTATATGAAATTCAAGAAGCAAGCAGCCTAGTGCAAAATCGACCCTGACCACCTTCCACCAACGGAAGATGCAACACCTCAACATTCCCTTCGTAATCATCTTCAAGTTGTGGTGTGGAAGCATATTGATACCAAAGGAAACGGAAAGGAGATTGATTCCAACAGAAAACTCAGACTAAAGATGCTGTATGTTGGTATTTCGCAAGACAACCTTTGTTTCAACTGCAAATAAGGGAGAGGCAGTGTCAAAACGTGAAATGCAGCTGCATGAAAGCTGGCATGTCATGTGTATCTGCATCTGGAGTGTGATGTGGACATTGCCCCGATGGAACAGAAAGCATATATGCAAAATAAGTTATTGGTAGCGATGAAGAGGGAAAAGACTGAGTATTATTAATTTATATCATGTTGCCGATAGTTACTGTAAGTTCTAAGTTGTAAGTAGTATTCTGTGTGTTTTTGAACATTTGTGGTTGTTTTGGTGCATGTTAGGTTTGTATAGTTTTCCATATCCATTTTTTACACTGCGGATTTGTTGACAAAGAGTGCAGAATAAATCGGTATTCTCTTCTTTAGAGCGACCAAAATTGCTCATGTAAAAGTTACAACTTTGAACCAATCACTGCGCATGCATGCAGTACGTACGTACCCACGTACACAGAGCTCTAGGTAGCATATAGCTGCATGCTATGCGCAGCTTCGACGTGTGTCACGCGCATGCGTAATACTACTAGTATCTTTGCAGCTCAGTCATCAATATTCATGATGCGTATACCTCTGAACCAATCAGGACGCAGGATTTTACGCTCAAAGGTAAACCTGCTTGGGAAAAAAAATCGCGGGCCCCCAACGCGGGTCAATATATCAACCCATTTACGATGATTTATCCCATGTATTAACCTAGTCAAAAAATAAACATACGACACAACTTTTGCACAAAACGAGAAGCTACCACAATTTCGATCAGGAATGGGTTGTCAACTTGTCAAAGACCCCTTGAAAGGGGGCCGTCTGAATAAATCACTTAATCATCGACCAAAAGATATTCAACAACAGCTGGTACTGTTGTTGAATATGTTTTGGTCGATGCCAGCTAGCTAAATAGGACTGTTTACCGTGTCTGTGACTGTGTGAAATGGCGTCGCCGTTAGTAGGCAAACCATAACCTGATGCATGGTACTATTTTAATACTCTGATTTTCATCTAAATTAATTCATATATTAATCTTTACTTCAGTATTAGTAAAACCAATCAGAAGAGCTCTTACATTACACACCTCGCTAGAAAAATAACATCTAACATTGTTTTCTTTCCTGCTAAGTTTTTGATCTAGGTACAAGATTGGTATTCTGAAAACTATGTAACTTTTATGTTAGCAAAATTATATTAATTGTCATAACAAATTACAATTAGAAAAAGATCATTGATTAATATCGGCGCTAATTTGCTCGGTTCGCATTAACTTAAAATAGTATATAATAAGTGATAATACCACGCAATTTAGATTGTTATGACGGTTCACAGTGTTCTCCCTATTACATAACAGATACAAATGTTTCAGAATACAGCCTCTGGTGATATGCTGATTAGTAATTGAGATGATTTCTGACTGAGGAAATGAGTGAAATTATTTTCTGGGTTTAACACATTGTTCTAAACGATAGGTTGAAAAGTATTTTTCATTGCAATCAAGCTCAAATAAGGCAAACTATTTTTTAAATGCATAAGCTTGCATCACATTTAATCATCAATTATATTGACATGAATAATTTCGGCAAGAAAACAGGTTATAAGTTTCAACTTTCAATTAGTGGATGGGGTCTGGCAATTCTCTAATGGTTTTAGTTCCCTTAATACTAGAAATTTTACATGAATTCATAGTGTATGCAAATTCACTTAAGCGTCTCTAATTATTATAAAACTAATTAAAAAAACAAATTGTACATGAACCTTTTATATTTGGTTTTGGGTGAATGCATTAAGTCAAAGAAACCAATTGGAAATTTCGAAACACTAAGATTATATTACAATGAAATTATCCTAAAAAATAGAAATCATATTAGCACGAGGAATCTCCCATTTGTTTCATTACATTTTGTATACAGATCCTTAAAAATATAAACCATTCACATGAGTAGACAATGCAAGCATTTTCACTTTATTACACCGCATATATTTTGGTTTCATGAGTATATTGCATTCGGTGCTAGGAACTTTTTTAAAGAAAATAAGTTTTAAAATCCTCGAATTGGCAACACATTGAGAGGTTAAAATCATTGTTTTCGATCAAAACTGGCATTCTGATTCAAAGTCCGGTGACGTGTCAAGAGACATAAAATTACCGTTCTCAGTACAGCAAAAGCATTTTATTCTACACAGTCACCTGCTTGTTTATAACTTTGGAGCGACGAAGATCGACTTAATGATTCTCATTTGATTTGAGAGAAGTGCTCTTGATGTACATGTACATGTATGTTTACATAGGGAGATCATAAACAGTCAAAATCTCACATCATTTATCCAACGTGATACAATGATTAATGTTTAATAATGCGGTTAGCAGCAAGTATACATAAGTGTTCTACAAGACAGCAAGTCTACAACGCGGCATATACTGATAGAGGTAAATTCACAATGTGTGTTAACAAATAGTTCCAATTTAGGGGCATATATCGCAAAAAAGCAAGACAATGTCTGCAACAACACACATTTATTGACTAATCTGTCAATAAATTCTGAACTAAATAGACATTAAGGTATATGTAATAACCGAAGTGCATGTTCATTAGTCTGGCGCAAACAACAACATAACACGAATTACAACTCCATCTGGAAAGGATCAGTAACAATGTAATTACTGTTATCTGGCAACTGTTATTCATAACATTTGTTAAAATAAACACATTTTTGGTTATTATGCTTAAAATACATTTACATGTATGTCTTGAATCATACACATGCTCAGTCACATACAATTAACTGATAAAGCTCAAACTAATGAATTTCCCCTCTATCATAATACAACAAGAAACATATAGACTGTAAAGGAAAAAAAAGAGTTTTTTTCCCATAGTTAGCCACTTGAAACGATCTTCTGTAATAATAATGTTACAACAATTTCATTATACGAGCACACACAATTTCTTTTAAAGCTTTAACAGTTTTAATTGCTTTTACACGCAGTTTCACAGACCCTTTAGTGGCCTTCACTCTATACGCATATCAAAGAATCCTTACTTATACATACTGCTAGTTACAATATCCCATAATATCAGTTCTTACATGGTCAAATAACTTTAGAGGAAAATATAATTTACTTCATTGTGATTATCATCATCCCATAACGATTTAATTTTCACATACAGGCAAATGGAATGTCCCAACCCAAGAGTCGCTCAAAACTTTGGTAACCAGGAGATCCTCTAATTGTAGATTAAATCGGCTGCATTGTTGCTCAATCAGTTCCTCATTGGATTGGTATGTATGCTGACTGCTCAATTGAGGGCGGCCTGGGTGGAATTCTTCTTGAAATATCAAGATAAAAAAAGCACATATTTACATATCAACCAACGATTTTCATCGTGACCTGTGACTTACTAATTAAACAACTCTGACTGGAGCACCTGTCTATGGTAATATTATCACCATAATTGCAGCTTACCCTTTAAGAAATTCTTGACATATTGTGATAACAATTAAGGAAATACCTTTATTTTCAAAAATTAAACTCTAAGACTTGTTTAAAAAAAAAAAAAGTATTTACCCCTACAATCTAATGAGCTTAAATTATATAGTGATTAAAAATATAATAATGTTTAAAGATTAACCATCACATTGGGATACCGCGATATTGTAGAGGTGTCGTGGACGAGTGGATATGTCAACGGACTGTGGATCACAAGGTCCGCGGTTCAAGTCTCACCGCGGCACTAATGTCCTTTGGCAAGACATTGATCTACATTTGCCACTCTCCACCCAGGTGTTAAATGGGTACCCGGTAGGATGCGAAAGCTAATGTGCTTAGATTATCAAGCGTGCGCTTGTAAAAATGACGCCTGGCTGGAATGCTCCCCAGGGAGTGGAGAATGTGCATACATAGTGCGGGTAAGCCTCAATCCGATGACCGAGGTAATAATATATATATATATATATATATATATATATATATATAAAGCGCTTTGATAGGGCCCTCCTAAAAAGCGCCATATAAGAAATAATTATTATTATTATTATTATTTTATACAACACCTTCGTGGATCCTTGTCATTTGATTGGAGGATTCTTGGTCACATGATATTTAATAGATGTTATAATGCACGGGCGTGCATTTTTGGTTACATGCGCCGTACATATTTGGTTATATGCAGACTGCGTACCTCTCTGCCGTGCGCGTATCCCTGCGTGTATCTGACGCGAAGGCAATCTGAATGTAATCGAGAAGGCTTGACTACAACTTTAATTTATCTTTAATATAAGGAGTAAAGCATAATTTGTTGATTAACGTTCTTCTTCGATGTTGTATAAAACAAATAATGAATGTTTTTCATTCGTTGAAAAATTTACGTTAATTCTATACAACTCGGCTAACGCCTCGTTAAATTGAATGTTAATCTTTCAACTAATGAAAATATTCGTACTATTGAACTTATAACCATTCATTATTTTTATAACATCAAGGCTAATACTTGCAATATCAGAAATTCACCTTCATGACCTTTGACCTTTGATGTACGTACTCTAAAACTGGATAAGATCGTCTTCCTATGGTGATGTTGTCATCCAGTTTGAATTTAATACCTGATGTAGTTCTTGAGATTTCGCGATAACAAGGCTTATAAGCGTAATTTTCAGAGATAGACCCTCATGAACTTTGACCTATCTTCCCTAGAATCAAATCAGATTGTCCTCCAATGATGACACACACTGTTACTACGTTTGAGGTTTATGTACCTCCAGTTCTTATCGTGATAACGAGGATGATACCTGCAATTTCAGATATTAAACCTTATGACCTTTGACCTACCTATCCCGAATCTAATCAGATTGTTTTCCTATGATGATACACACTGTCACCAAGTTTAAAGTTCATACCTCCGGGAGTTCCTGAGATATCGCGATATACTAAGGCCATTACCTGAAATTACCCAAAAATGACCTCTTTCACCTGTGACCTTTGACCTACAAACCCACTTAATCTAATCAGATCGTCTAAGTAAGGTGATACACACTGTCACCAAATATGGAGTTCATATCTCAAGTGGTTCTTGAGATACCGTGATAACGAGAAAGCGGGACGGACAACCCGTAAACATGCCTCTGTGACTACCTTCATAGGCGGAGGCATGAATTAAAAACGCCTAATTAATAGCAATAACTATGGGGCGCCAAGTGTTATCCTAGTTTTTCGGTATAAAATCAAATCATTTTGTTACAAAATTTGTACCGAATTAATTTTGTAACAAAATTAATTGTACCGAATATATTTTGTTACAAAATGAACAAAAAACAATTATTTTGTAACAAAATTAAATTTTGTTAACAACTTTTGTAACGAAATAAATTTTGTTACAAAATGATTAGTACCGAATTCATTTTGCTACGAAATGATTGTACCGAATTCATTTTGTTATAAACTTTGTACCGAATTCATTTTGTTACAAAACCTTGTTTTACCATATTCATTTTGTTGATTGTTTCAGCTTGTGCTTCGCTCTCGTTCAGTGTATATATACCACTAACAAGAAATAACGAAAATAGATAACATAGATAGCATTTGTACTTACATTCTTGCATGTATCTCCCTCGTTATGCATAGTTGTTGTAATCGGCTTCTTTCCATTGAAAACATCTTAGTCCAATTTCATTTTCCGAGTAGTGATCTGAAATAAAAGGAAAGGGATCCCTTTCTTTAATAACCTCGTAATATGACTATAGACATGAATCTAGAAAACACAGACAATGCAAACGAAAGACATATTTTCTTTAGATAAGCAGTTATTATCATCCATTGCATCTGGATATACCTTTTCACAATGCCGAATATCTGAACATAATAATAATAATAATAATAAAGATATATTTAACATGAATCTTCTGAGGATTCTTTTCGCACTTGTAAGATATGACTCAAAATTTCTTTAGATCAATTCCTCTCAAAGTTCCATGTTGTAGAAAATATTGTTGGCAAACATAATGCATACAGTATGATGCCAATCAAAAAGCGTGACTCCATGCCTAAATTTGACATCACAAACTACAGTCAAATCTGTATATTAAGGTCACCAAAGGGAAACAGGTGGCCTTTCTAGAAAGGTTGAACAATTTTCTTTCTTAAGTGTGACGAAGTACATGGATAATATTCATGCAGAGATGGTCTTTATAGAGAGGTGGCCATAAGACAGGTTTCAATGCATCTGCACAATATATCATCTTTGGAGCGAAAAGGGCGTTCTCTCAGAGACTATAAAAAGAGATTGAATGGCCTTTGAACAGAAGATATATGAAAATATTAACATCATCGATTACATGCGATTATTCATGATCCCACAAACTGCGTGAAAAGGTCAAATGAATAACACCACCCGTTTGCTTATCTCGTTACCCAAGATCGTTTTTTGTTGTTGACCATTCTTACCAAATATACATTTTTATTTAGCTATATATAACGAATAACCACATTGGCCTTCTACACAATTTTTGGGGGGTTTTGTGAAGCAGGTTCACACATTCGCTCATTGTATGCATGTACTACATATGCGCAGTACACCAATCGCTGATTACTAATGCTTCGCCTTGACAAACACTGTTATATTACATTTTTGTCTCTCTGACGGTTTTAACGCAATAGTATAGTAAAAAGACAACCTCGGTCTTAATTTCTTTTGTCAAAAGTGAGTTAAGATCAGGCGTCAGGTTTAACTTAATAGAGCACAACCTCATCATGATATGATGATTTTCCAGCCTCAGTTACGTTCGCATCTTATACCCCTGGATGAGGAGAAGCAATGCAGACACAAAGCATTACTCAGAGACGTAAGTGCCATACTGAGACGTTACTCAATTATTGTCGACTATCTTACACCTATATAATACGGGCATCATTGTGGAATAATAGCTATGTCCATATGAACATAATGAGTGAAAGATTCAAACATACCATAGGGTTGGATCGTGTAGTTCAGGTTGGATTCGTTGAACGTGACCGTGGTATTATCCAAAATTAGGATACTCATGTGGACCAGATTCCCGTTGCAATCTTTTTTCAACAGTCGATACGCTGTGTCAATATTGCATTCATTGATGTCTTCTCCGTACTCGGACATAATACATGGTGACCCGTTCACCAGAGTGTCGTAGATGATGTCAAAGGTTGAATTTGGTGGTACCCTGTATGTTCCACCTGGTGGAGATACACTTGGTTCTTGCGGTGCTTGATATACTATTCAAGAGAAGCAAAAATGATAAGCATGTAAATAACACACAACACATTGTTGTTGTTGTTGTTGTTGTTGTTTGGTGAATATTTAATCGAGTGCGATTATAATATGGTTCTCTATATAACCACATGCATTATCAGTTAAAACAGCTTTTCTCGAGAGACCTGTAATCATCATTACCCCCTAAAATAACCTTGGTCTAGAAAGACCCGTATGACTTTCCTTACCCGACGGCTTGCCGTGTATTTTAGAGACCGTACGGGACTCTCCCGATTTCCACATTTCTACGGCATGTGTGGTCAAATATTCTGTGGCGTCCGTATGGTTCTCTTTACGGGCTTTGTACGGCCTAATGGTCGGATGAAAGCGCCGAGAAAATTGGTAAAAATTGGTGGAGTTGAAACGCAAGGCGCTCCATTCTCTACTCTGCTGAGTGCAAGCTGAGCTAGGTCAGTATAGCTTCATTCAAAGCTATTCTTGAATTCCCATCAACCATATTGATCCGGGAAAGAATCCCTCTCTGGACGCTCCGTCATACATGTTAGCATTATAATCAGATGATGTCATTACTAAAAAAAAAACACACCTGAAAAACCCAAATAAAGGGGGAAATGGTTTCTGAAAATCCTGTGGAAACACACTTAATTTTCAAGATAAAAATGACAAAAATTGGATACGTACCGGTGCAATCACTTAAGAGATGAACATTATCAAGTGTTGTAACCAGGTAGCTGTTGTCAGGGGCAAGCTCCAAGTCTTTGATGGGACGAGAAACTACAGGATTCTGTAAATTGGAACAGAAACACAAAGAAAGGGCGAGAGAAAGAGAGTTTCAATATCAATTTATGGACAATAATTATCATGAATATTAACAAAGAAAGTAAAAGTACTTACAATTGTATAGATACTACTGCAGTCAGTGTAGAAAAGATAAAAAGAGCACAGGTCAAGATTCGTTATTAACAATGCAGGGCTAATTCTTCATATTATTTATAATGGAAGACGTGATATATAATGTACGCAAATATGAACGGACGCCTGTAACAACTGTAATCTCAGATCCTCAATACATTCATACAAGCAATTCACATTATGAAGTGTTAATGATTATTACGGTCGTTAACTTCACGCACGCGGGTGCACCCGCATCCCATCGTCGGTAGGCACTTGTATTTTGCAGCGGTTTGCCGTGAAACCTGTGAGAAAAAGCATGTCTTCGCCTTTAGGAAATATACTCCAAAAAAAGGTAAGACAATCGAAACGAAACAGGTAAGCAAGATAACGATTTTTGAATCATGAACATTATTTGATATAACTGTCGAAGATTTAGTTGATTTTTTTGTATGTTGTAGTAGGGTATCTCCACGTGTCACGGGTCGAAAATATGGTCACACATTCACAGTTCTAAGCAAAAAGGCTGACAATTGACCACAGTAACATCAAACCCTGTTGCCCGAATTCACAAAGACGGTTTGTCGACAAACCTCCTTTATGAATTCGGGCCAATCATTTCGAGCCGGAGCCCGGACTAGAGCTCAACGAGGCGCCTGAGGTAGAGGATGAAGCAGACCTTATAATCAGTGCGTCCCAGAAAAAACGAAACCGTAGACGAAAGACTTCATGCATGGTTGATTGTCAACGAAACGGAGTTAAGTTTTTTGTTAATTCCGTATGTTGCTACGGCAGTCAGCCAGTGAAAAAGAATTCGTTTAATACAATTATGGAAATGCAAGCACTATTTTAAACAAACAGAACTTTGTTATTCCTAGTTCATTTTTCCTGATTGAGGTGTTTGTAATAACTCATGCGTGAAATATGCATTATACGAGTAGTATCAAATGAAAGAAGAGGATCTAAGTTTTATGTGTCATTTTATCAATTATAATTGTGATTAAGTTCTGATAAAACATCAATAATTCTCGGTTTCGTTCTTATCTGGAACGCACTGTAGATTGTCAACTAACTCAGACTGATAACATATAGACCAGATCTAACGTTAGTCTAGACTAAACCTTTTCTCAGCTGCAGTCCTCACAGTCTTCTCCTCCTTTTTTGTATCCTAATCCTTTCTTGGTGGCTTGATAGTATCGGCAGATCCCAGCCATAGAATTGAAAGAAGAAAAATACCAAGCCGCAAGCGTAAAGCAACTATGCCAACAAATAATGATAAGAATAAACACCGTGGACTCTTTGCCCACTCGTTTGATTTTTTTTAAAGGAAACTGACAGCCAGGCTGACAAGAACGCGCACGCAAAATAATGAAAAGACTATCTGCTCGCGACTTTTGGGTGAAACTGTCTTTAAAAATGCAAACTATAATATTAATGAAAAAAGAGACATTTATCCGAGAAATAATATGCACTTGGTAATCCCACAACGTTTCTGGCCATTCGTCATTCCTAATTATGGATTACAATGAGATTGTGAGATCATTTGTTGTAGGATAAAAGTACAAGGACATTCCTGCAATGACGTCATCAAAATGCGTCATCAAGCAATTACGTGATGTATTTACCTTTATCCGATGGGTGGAGCTTAGCAGCGTGAGATCTTTGAAAAATTGATGGTTATTATCATTTTTTGGTCAATATAGAGACTTTCTGAAAAAATGTTAGGCGGGAATATTAATAAGTAGAGGTGTATCAATGTTTTGAAATGCTAAGTTCGTTGGGTTGGAGGGGCCCTTTATTGTGTACCTCTATAATGATGGAATATGTGTTCTGTGCTGAACTTGCATGGTGCTGTTCACGAGTGTTGCATACAAATTGCATAGCCGGGCAGTGATGGAAAACAAACACGTGACTTAAATACTCGTTTGGCATTGGCTGCAATACTTGTATCTGTCTTATAACATATAACGTTACTTTCCTATAAATTAACCCACTGCCTAAATGAACTGGATGGTCCCTGTAGTAAGCATAAGGGATTAAGATAACTCGTAGTCGAAGGGTAACATTTTAATAAACTCATAGCCTGCCATAAGGCTGCATGCACGCTATTGTTAAGGTGCCATGTACACGCTAGCAAGCTATTGTTCCTCTGCTTCTTGCATGATTGCACGCATATGTAATAGCAGTTATTGTTCATGCCCATTTGACTGTGCCTAGTGTTTTGCACGCGCTATTGATAGTACCATCGCGTTAATCCGATTATCTCGTTATGAACTTGGCACTGCAGGGATTTGGGGCTTGGCACTGCAGGGATTTACCCGGTGGCAGAATAAGAGTTAAAAGGTAGGTCTTTTACTCACTTGACAAGGATTTCCCAAATCTGGTTCGGTAGTATCTACTTCGACCTCGTAGAGGCATCCTTTTTCTGTAAAATTCAAGAGTAAAGTCATACGATAGTTACAATACTGAATGGCCGAAAGCCTTCATCAGATATACCGTCATAAACTACAGCAATTTGTTTTAATGATGACACAAAATGTTTCAATTTCGCAATTTCCTATCTTAAAAAATAATTCATTACACGTAGGAATTTTGATGCGCGCAGTTGCCATTCATTTACATTGAAAGGGGACAAAAACAGCAATTTTTGGGGTGAATCCCATCGCATCGAAAATCAGGCCAGTTTGAATGATATGGTTAATAAAAGGAATTAAATGACAAGATATTCCACAAGATACCTCCATCTCATGAATTAAAGCAACATAAGAATAGTTCTAGCCATTTTGAAAGTGTGTAATGTTCAGGATGCAGATTTGAAAAAAGGTGTTGTTTTTTTAAAGCATTTTCACACCATTATGCCATGTTTTAAAGGTGCCTTTGAGGCGATAATTAACCTTTTTGTGAATGCATTTTTAATGAGCCAAAAACACTTCTAGGCTATAACAGTATTTAATTCCCATTTCAAACACAGGAGGTAGTTGTTGGTTGCTGTAATGATCATGCCTTACACCTTTGGAAATGAAGTGACTGGCTGGAATGCTCCCCAGGGAGTGGAGATTGTGCACACAGTGTGTGCGGGCAAGCACTGAATACAATGACCGAGGTAATAGTATATTTGTAAAGTGCTTAGAGACATTTGTATCAAGCGATATATAAAAGCTAAATATTATTATTATTTACCTGAGGAAATAATGTAGATTTCTGTGCCGTTTTTAGAAGTCATTTCCAAATTAGAGAAGCGGTCCCCAAGCAGAAAAAAATGGACTCTCCCATTTGCGTGGTCACTCATTAGGTTGTAATCACGTTCAAAGTCTGTTTGAGCTGTGTTTGGTTTGGAGCACTACAAAGGGGGAATATAGTTAGATATAGGTTAAGCCAGAAGAAGTTCAGTTGAATGATGAATACAAAGCATCCTTTAGTGAAAATAATTATAATACTTTATATTCACCATTCATTTCATATATTATAACCTAATCAATTATTTCCCTTTTTGAGTGCTTAGGAAAAGAAAAGAAAAAACTATCCCCTTGTATATAGGTGTTACACAACATACACCTTTGTTCTCAATTTAACTTGGGCAGAGGTAGGGAAAAAGGAAATTTAGGATATTAAATTAACACACTAAAATAGGCGAATAGGGAGGGTTATGACAATACATTGTCTTTACAAAATTGCCAGTTTAATAGCCTTCATTAGATATTGATCTTCATACTAATCATCACATTCAACAACACACATTATTAGATGTCTGATTTTTCTCAAACCTTTTGTTTTAACAAGATTATCTGGCTTGTTAATGCAAAATTAGCGATGACTGTTTTCGTTGAGAAGAAGAAGGTTGAGTTCTGGCACAGATGAAGAAAAATTCGTGAGCTTTCTCATTCCCGTTATGTTAATTTGGAAGTATATCACAGTAGAAATGTCCCAATAAACAAAATCACGTGAAAATCACGTCAATATCAAGGTATCGACTTGAGGAGAGTTACGTTCTTCAAACACCGTACATTTACGTAAATGTGTTAATACGTTTATTGCATTAGGTAACTTAAAACACACGTACACTAAATCACGCAATTGTCACTGCAATATCACCATTATAATAACGTGATTATCCCTACCTTGGAGACCATGGTTTGTAAACCTAATACTCCCGTGTTTGTTTGGTTATGAAATTACATCTTCATACACGAAATTATCGCGTCACAGAAACACGTGAAGCGTTAATGATAGTTTTAGTCAAAATATCTGCGTGAAATTCACGTGAATATTACGAGGCTGACTTGAGATGAATCATGTTCTTCATTCACGTGAAATTTACGTCGAAGAGGAAGTATGTTACTGTAACCCGCGTTCAACCCAATAATTACGCAAATGTTACACAATAAATGAACCAAAATAATGACGTTCTCATCCCGTTTCTGAACATCGTGTCTTGGATTTTCCATAATTACATCCAGGCGCGCCGGAAGCAGTTTGGGATTAGAGGGGGTTGGGTGGGGGGGGGGGGGGGTGCAAACATCCCAGAAGAGAAAGCTAGTTGCAACTGGTCCAGTTGATGAACCATTTTTAATGCCAACTGGTAACCCTGGAAATTGAAATGGGCTAAATGATCCAGTTGATCCAGGCCAGTTATAATTCAACTGGTCTAGCTGAGCCATTAGAACCATTTAGTAAAACTTCCAACCAGTTGAACAGCAACAATACTTCAATACTGGTACGTCTGTTTTTCCAATATAAGGGCATTGGTAATAAGTAGACTTACATCATTGAATTAATCGAAACAAATTCGTATACTTGTACTTTATTGAAATTATTTTAGTTCACAGTTAATGTTTCCCTTATTCATGTTTAACTATTTATACGAAGTAGCGAAATGTCCTAATAACTGGTAATTTATATTTGTAGTATTTTCGAAATGAATTGCATATAACTAAATCATCAGTAATAAAGAAATATGCTGTAAATTCAGATAAATTGTTTAAAAAACATAGATCTGCACGCACCCCATATTCAATATGCAAATGAATTGGTGTCAGCTGGGTCAACTCGAAATATGCCAACGCTCAGTCATCAACTGGTGCAACTGGAAATGTGCACACTCCAGTTATCAACTGGTGCAATGAAAATATGCCAACAGTCAGTTATCAACTGGTGAACATAGAAATATGCCAACAGTCACGGGATTATCACCACGGAACTTAAATAGTAACTGTGAAACCATCAAGACACCCAAGAATAACTCATTTTCACACATGGAAAACACGGAATACCCAGCTTATATTAATAATCCGTTTGAGTCACGCGATCATCACCGCGGAACTGCTGGCAACTTTGACTACAATTTAAATAGGTGTTTTAAGACACCTAATCATGACTAATTTTTCACACCTAAATATCACGGATTCACAGCTTAGATTAGTAATCAGTTTTAACTACGTGATCATCACCAAGAAAGTTATGGTAACTTTGAAACCATTTAAATAGGTGTTTTAAGACACCTAATAATGACTAATTTTTCACTCCTAAAAGTCACGTATGACAAGCTTAGATCAATAATACGTTTGAGTCACGAGATCATCACCGCGGAACTTATGGCAACTTTGACTACCATTTAAAAAGGTGTTTTAAAACACTTAATAATTACTAATTTTCACACCTACATATCACGTTTTCACAGCTTAGATTAGTAATCAGCTTGAGCCACGTGATCATAACCAAGAAATTTATGGTAACTTTGAAACCTTTTGAAGAGGTGTGTAAGACACCTCAGAATTACTAGTTGAATATAACCAGAGATTCACGGACAGAACAATAACACGATTAGCCGGTGTAAGTAACGTGATTATTACCATCAACCTTGGATAACCTGTGAAACCAATCAATAAAGGTGCTTACAAGACCAAATAATTACGTATTTATCGCCACCATCGGTTAACTGACAAAAAACTCGTTGCTTGGTCAAGTGGTTATTTGGTCATAAACACTTGATTTACAGAGGTAAGTGGAATCACGTTACTCCAGTCGCGTGATAAACTGGTGGTTTTTAGGTTAGATGAAAACGTGAACAGGAGTACCTTTTTTGTTTAAATGAAGGCACGTGTCGATAACGTTTAAATCTAGTTCAAAAGGCACTATACTTTAAAATCACTTAAAATACACTCCCAAAAGAGGTTACTTTTTGGTGTTCTGTTTATTGGGGTTCCCTAAAATAGGTCGCTTTCCAAATGCCCTACCTACAAAGTAATACGAAATACACCTGACAAGCTGGAGCCAAATGTTTATGCCACATGTGTGTGCAGTACAAACTACCCATTTCTGTTCCCGGTTTATGTAATTTTTGAGTCGATCTACTTTCATTTAAGTGATTCAAAATCCTAAAGTAAACATTAATTGGTATGAACTACATGCATACAGGAAACCAACCATTCCCAGTTACTTCCATATTTGTTTCTTTCAAAGAATAATTGCAAGACAGGTATTCAAACTTTATCTTGTAAGATGGACTTACATCCAAACCAGGCCTTGGCGACACTTCAAGTCCATCATATACTCTCCAAAGATCATTGGTAACCGCACCATCAGCCCCGAAGAAATCACCCTCATTAAATGTCTCATTGATTGAAGTCAGATCGAAAACACAGAGAGCTGATTGTGGCGCTTCATTCCTGGAGAAAATAACACATGATATTATTATTATTATTATTATTATTATTACTTATACTGTACCGCGCTTTTCCCGAAGGCCCAAAGCGCTTACAGTGAATACAAAAACAAACAACTGCAAACAAAAAATTAAGGCCTTTCTGAAGGTAATAACTAATTCGAAGTGGTAAATCATTCCAACATTTTGAAGCAGATACAGTAAATGTCCAATCACCGGCTAATGGGCGGGTAACTGAATATGTGAGACGGAGAGGATCACTGGCCGACCACAATGCCCTGGCAGGTGTATATAAGTTCAAACAGGTATCATTAATATTTTTGAGCAGAAAGTATGAAAACTCATATAATGATATGATAATAGATATATGGACATTGCAACCACTGCACCCCTCACCGCCCCAACTGTTAGGGAATTTGGGGAAGGATTAACATGCCAATCAGTAACGCTCAATGCTAAAAAATAACATAATAATGTCAATACATTTTGCAATCAACAACATGATATGAAAGTAATATGGACCCTTTTTTATATATTTTGATAAATTTCAGATATTGTAGGTTTTTTTTTTCGTAGATCATGAAGCTACCTCAAGTAGAAAAAAAGAAGAACTTGTAAGTTGCTACAATACTTTTTGGTAACATTTTTGAGGTTAAGATAATGACAGTTTTTATTTTCAGTAGATCAAGTAGCTACCTGAGTAGAAAAAAGAAGAGCTTGTAAATGACAATCATACTTCTTGGTAACATTCGTGTGGTACATATATTGTAAGTTTTTTAATTTATCAAGGAGCTATCTTTAGTAGAAGAAATAAGAGCTTGTACATTTTGCAATTTTTACTACTATAATAATTGGTAACAGTTTTGAGGTTGAATATCTCTTTGTAACATCACCTGTACAGTATGTGGAGACTATAATAAACTGAACGTGGCAAAAATTGTACAAAACACATTACATATTATCCAATTGCATAGTAGGGTTTTGAGGGGTAATTATATCAATTCAATATTGCAAGCTATAAACAATTGAATGTTATGATTTGAGGTTAAAATTTTCAAACAGAAAATTGTAAAATAACTAAGTACAACATAATATAACATCGCCTTCCTTGGAAACTTAATACTATTGCAGTGGGCATACTGTTAAGAGATATGGTACCCCCTTTCTCTATGAAAAAAGGAAGGGCTGGCAAAATGGTTATGGGAATTTCATTTTTTTGGTTTGCATTTGTTTTCAACTCATTTACAATACCACGTAACACGCTATGATATCTCTAAGTTAATCTAGCTAGTCGAAATGTCAGTGAACAAGTATTCATTATCTGTACAAGTGTACCCTTTAATACAACTACAACGGATATTTTTTCATTAAATGTTTTTGCCCCACAATTTCAGTTGTCATGAGTAAGGTCACTCTCTTCCCCTTCTAACAACTGCTTATATCACTGAGAAAGACACAAAATGCATTAAAACCCAGTACAAGGCTTACTGTCCACTGGTGAAAACAGCATGGATCATTGTACCATCATCACTAAGGGCAAAGTCCTCTGTAAGTAAGAAACAAGTTTTTTAAGTCTGAGAAAATAGATTTGGCGTAATTATACTGATACGTCATTAATAATTAATTGTTCTTTGTAATATGTGTTATTCTCTAAAAAAAACCTTAGTCAGACAGGATTTTAGTTGATTAGAATAAATCTTTTCCACAATTTCCTTTTTTCCCCACTACCATCCTCTTCCTGCTCCCACTCCTCTTCCTTCTTATCATCAGCACCATCATCATCACCACCACAATCAGCACCATCATCATCATTATCGCCACTTCTACAACAATCACCACCATCTTATATTATCATCATTATCACGACAACCACCGCCACCATCTTTACATCATAATCATATTCATCATCATCATCATCACCAGCACCAACACTACCACCACAACAATCATCATCATCATTATCACCACTACCACCGCCACCGCCACCATCTTTACATCATAATCATATTCATCATCATCATCATCACCACCACCAACACTACCACCACAACAATCAACATCATCATTATAGCCACTACCACCATCACCACCATCTTTACCTTATCATCATTATCACGACCACCACCGCCACCGCCACTATCTTTACATCATAAACATTAATCATCATCATCATCACCACCACCAACACTACCACCACAAAAATCATCATCATCATTATCACCACCACCACCGCCACCACAACAATCATCAAAACATTATAATCATATTCATCATCATCATCATCATCATCACCAACACTATAACCACAACAATCATCATCATCATTATAGCCACTAGCACCATCACCACCATCTTTACCTTATCATCATTATCACGACCACCACCGCCACCATCTTTACATCATAATCATATTCATCATCATCATCACCACCACCAACACTACCACCAACACTACCACCACAACAATCATCATCATTATCACCACCACCACCACCGCCACCGCCACCATCTTTACATCATAATCATATTCATCATCATCATCATCACCACCACCAACACTACCACCACAACAATCATCATCATCATTATAGCCACTACCACCATCACCACCATCTTTACCTTATCATCATTATCACGACCACCACCGCCACCGCCACTATCTTTACATCATAAACATTAATCATCATCATCATCACCACCACCAACACTACCACCACAAAAATCATCATCATCATTATCACCACCACCACCGCCACCACAACAATCATCAAAACATTATAATCATATTCATCATCATCATCATCATCATCACCAACACTATAACCACAACAATCATCATTATCATTATAGCCACTAGCACCATCACCACCATCTTTACCTTATCATCATTATCACGACCACCACCGCCACCATCTTTACATCATAATCATATTCATCATCATCATCACCACCACCAACACTACCACCAACACTACCACCACAACAATCATCATCATTATCACCACCACCACCACCGCCACCGCCACCATCTTTACATCATAATCATATTCATCATCATCATCATCACCACCACCAACACTACCACCACAACAATCATCATCATCATTATAGCCACTACCACCATCACCACCATCTTTACCTTATCATCATTATCACGACCACCACCGCCACCGCCACTATCTTTACATCATAAACATTAATCATCATCATCATCACCACCACCAACACTACCACCACAAAAATCATCATCATCATTATCACCACCACCACCGCCACCACAACAATCATCAAAACATTATAATCATATTCATCATCATCATCATCATCATCACCAACACTACCACCACAACAATCATCATCATCATTATAGCCACTACCACCATCACCACCATCTTTACCTTATCATAATTATCACGACCACCACCGCCACCATCTTTACATCATAATCATAGTCATCATCATCATCATTACCACCACCAACACTTCCACCAACACTACCACCACAACAATTATCATCATCATTATCACCACCACCACCGCCACCATCTTTACATCATAATCATATTCATCATCATCATCACCACCACCAACACTACCACCAACACTACCACCACAACAATCATCATCATTATCACCACCACCACCACCGCCACCGCCACCATCTTTACATCATAATCATATTCATCATCATCATCATTATAGCCACTACCACCATCACCACCATTTTTACCTTATCGTCATTATCACGACCACCACCGCCACCATCTTTACATCATAATCATATTCATCATCATCATCATCATCATCATCACCACCAACAGTATCACCACAACAATCGTCATCATCATTATCGCCACTACCACCACCATCATCACCATCTTTACATTATAATCATTTGTCTTCACCACTACCATCATCATCGTAATCATTTATACCATTCAGATCGCGTTATTACTAGCATCAACATCACAATCTTGTTATCATACAACCATTTCTATAACAAGTTTATTCACACCATCATTATCATTATAACCACCGACATCTCCATGATGATCCCGTCACATCATCACTATCGTCGTCGTAAACACTCTTTACATCATAATCATATTCATCATCATCATCACCACCACCAACACTACCACCAACACTACCACCACAACAATCATCATCATTATCACCACCACCACTACCGCCACCGCCACCATCTTTACATCATAATCATATTCATCATCATCATCATCACCACCACCAACACTACCACCACAACAATCATCATCATCATTATAGCCACTACCACCATCACCACCATCTTTACCTTATCATCATTATCACGACCACCACCGCCACCGCCACTATCTTTACATCATAAACATTAATCATCATCATCATCACCACCACCAACACTACCACCACAAAAATCATCATCATCATTATCACCACCACCACCGCCACCACAACAATCATCAAAACATTATAATCATATTCATCATCATCATCATCATCATCACCAACACTACCACCACAACAATCATCATCATCATTATAGCCACTACCACCATCACCACCATCTTTACCTTATCATAATTATCACGACCACCACCATCTTTACATCATAATCATATTCATCATCATCATCATTATAGCCACTACCACCATCACCACCATCTTTACCTTATCGTCATTATCACGACCACCACCGCCACCATCTTTACATCATAATCATATTCATCATCATCATCATCATCATCACCACCAACAGTATCACCACAACAATCGTCATCATCATTATCGCCACTACCACCACCATCATCACCATCTTTACATTATAATCATTTGTCTTCACCACTACCATCATCATCGTAATCATTTATACCATTCAGATCGCGTTATTACTAGCATCAACATCACAATCTTGTTATCATACAACCATTTCTATAACAAGTTTATTCACACCATCATTATCATTATAACCACCGACATCTCCATGATGATCCCGTCACATCATCACTATCGTCGTCGTAAACACTCTTCCATACTGTTTATACTTACGTATCTCATTATAATCCAAAGAAGAACCATCGGAATAATTTTGGGAGCATACAAGGCGCTGCTTTAAGAAACTGGTGAGGGTCACAGTACTAGAAACAGTTACCCCATCATCATTCTGCAAAACAAACAAGAACGGTACGTTATCAGATGTCGTGGTCACGGACTCTCAATCCAAGGTCCACGGTTCAAATCAACGTTCATTGGCAATACATTAAATCACATTATCCACCCTCAAATTATGAATACACACATGAAAGTTGGCAGTTGGCCTTCAATTACACGTAAAAAGGGTGTTTTGGGGAAGACGGCTGCTTACCGGGTCAAGCATTTGCAACTTATTTTGTTTTCATACCGTGCTACGAACATGAAGAAAACAAATTGACAGAAAAATAGTCATGTTAAACCGATTAGCAAAATGAAATCCAGAAAGCGGAATATTTGTTAGGTTCGATATTTGAACATAAATTTGGTGGTTAATGGAAGCACGTTTTTAGATTTTGGCAAAGTTAGGCAGCCGCTGAGTGATTTCTAACATGCAGGCATGACGTAATTTAATGTCACAATGGACTGAAATTCGGTAGTTAAGTGGTGAAACTTGATTGTGATTGGAAGGTATGGGTTTTAAAAAAATGTAGAGAAAGAACAAATAAAGAGAGAAAGATTTTGACGAAATCAAGAGGTGATTTGCCGATCTGAAGATCACCTGATAATATTAACAATAATAATAATATTATTATTAATAGTAATTATAATACACTCCATTATCATTGCCCCGCCTCTGGCAAAGCTGCCATCATTATTACCGTGCCTAATTAATGCTTAATTAAAAAAAAAAAAAAAAATCCATTACCAGACCAGAGAATTAAAAAATAATGCAGTATTTTATGGAAATGTGGTCGTTAAATTTAGAATGCAATCTTCAAAATGCAAAATAATCACCGTAAGCATATTCTTCAACTTACAGAATAATCACCCATCACTTGAAAACAATCGTGTGCATAGCTACAATGTATCAAGCAACATTAAGAAACTTACCTAACAATCTATGGAATATTGGTAAATGAATACGAAAATAACAAACAAAGAATAACATAAAAGCCTGCTCACAGAACCCGAATCCTTCTTTGGATCCCTTCCTATTTTTTTTTTTATAATAGGCCTGCGTGGACTAGTCTACCGTACATGTAGTTTTTATTTTGAGTAAAAAGTACACTGCGTTATCTCCTTGTAGATGTAATATTCAAGGATGATACAGCGAACAATTCCATCAAGACTGAAACCTGTTTTGGTGACTGATGATTTTCAAGGATAAAATGAAGAATTGTCACCTTGCAATCTTGATTTTTTCTTATGTCTATGCTTAAAGATGATCTTGTAATCTTTCATGTGGATAAAAGAACCCAACATGTGGGAAAAACTGACCTTGCATATCCTTGCGATTCGGCTATAGTAGGTGTTTACGCTGATACCTTGGCCTGCACTTAAGCTAGCAAACTCCTGTGCTGACTCACGGAAGAGGAAGTAGACAAACTCACCACTGACAAAAGGTGTTCCTACAAACTGTGCCTCTGAATTCATAACAAAGGAAAATGTAAATTATAATGATGATGGTGATGATACTGAATTTGTAACAACAACATCAACATCGATGATAATAATAATAAGAAGAATAGCACATGTAAGATATCCATATCCATCAGCACATGTGATACTATCTGGCCCCCTTTGACCAACCAATAGTTTCTCTTCTTGTATATGTAAACTATTGTATGATATGTATTGCTGTTGGTAAATAAATCAAATCAAATAAGAAATGAAGGTAAAGCAGACTCATTGATGTGTGATACTAAAATCAATATCAATATCAACATAGAAATCCGGATAATGGTAATAGTACTTCAATAATATTAACAACAACAAAATCACATCGATAATAGTAATAACATGAAGAATAAAACATGAAGGAGAAGAAGACTTGTTGATGTATAATATTCAATATCAATATGGATATCATAATGATGATGATACTAATATGATATTAAAAACACGACATTCAACATCGACGATAATATAAAGAAGAATAAATGAAGGAGAACAATATTATGTTTGATATGTGATATATAAACAACTGCATCGCAAATGGGCAAAAAATAACCTAGTCAAGTATATATCATTTCTTACATTAAGTTTTATTAATATTGAACATACTTTGTAAGGGTGTTTTTATTACTATAACTACAAGTTCATGAACATGTAGAAAGGCATCAGACGAAACTTAGAAATTAATCAAACCAAAGAAATATATTTACCATCAGCAACCATTTTCTCAGAATCGGTCCTTGTGATAACTTTTCCGGTTATTACTCCGGCTAAGGTGACTGATGCCAAGCCAACGATGGATTTTGGGACGTCAGATTCTATCGTAAGTCCATAGTAAATTCTACCTTCTGTAGTAGAATAATAATAATAATAATAATAATAATAGTACATTTATAAATAAATAAGCACAGTTTAGCATACCGACCGTGAATTGGGCATAATATCTAGAATCTTGAATGACTAGTTGCCAAGTACATACATGTACATGTAGCATGTAGCTCCTTCACCGGATGAAAAGCACTCTAAAATGCCATCCATTGGTCGATGTGCAAGTTCCAATATATATTATATATGTATAAAACAATTACTAATTATTAGGTATGCTCCTTGAGAATACGACATGCTAACCTTACATCTATTTGTATTCGAAAAGGCCTAAAATCATTACTTTTTCTTTCAATGTTGTGATATTTTCTTTTAAACTGCTATGAATTTTCATGAAAATTATGTTTTTTTTTTATACTAAAGTGCCCTTTTTCCTCCTATTCCTGTTTCAGTGTGATCGAAAATATTAATTTTGTATTCGTGTATTCAACAGCAAGATGCCCGCATAAATTTCACGTTTTACATGCATCTAGCAGGGACATGATCATGTATGTTTTTATTTTATTTCTACCATATTATAAATTTACAGTCGTATAGCCACATTGAACCCCACATTGAACAAACAAAGAATATTTTCTGGATGATCGGGAGTTTGAGACACTAAACAATTACCAGACCTGCCATGCCATTGCAATATACATGTACCACGTAATCTCTGCAACTTACCCCCGCCCCCAAACGCGTACCCAGGATTTAATTTTAGGGGGGGGGGGTGGGGGGGGGAGTAGTGAGCGAATCACTTACAGAGCGCAGAAGCTTTGACGTTTCATTAAATTATTGGAGAAAGAAGATTATTCGTTAGACCGTTTTCGATCTACTCTTAATCCTTGTCTGAGTTCAGTTCTCCCCCTCCCCCTCCCGCGCGAAGCGCAGAAGCTTTGACGTTTTATTAAATTATTAGAGAAAGAAGACGATTCTTTTTACCGTTCTCGACTCAAAATCCTCGTCTGAATTCAGTTTCTTTTGACGTTTAATTAGAGAAAGAAGACGATTCGTTGTACCGTCCTCGACTCCTAATCCTTGTTTGAATCAAGTTTCCCTCCCTCCGCGCGTAGCGCGGAAGCTCTGACGTTTCATTGAATTATTAGAGAAAGAAGACGATTCTTTGTACCGTTCTCGACTCTTAATCCTTTTCCTTCCTACTTCATCTCCTTTCTTCTTTTGTTCTCTCTTTTTTTTTTTGGCCGGCGTTTTTTTACGCGCCTGCCGCCCCCCCCCCCACTCAGTATAATTTAGGGTACGCATGTGCGTGTTCCCTCCTTTTGAAAACACCCCCTAAGTCCGGTGTGTAAAAGTCAATGTGGGCCGCATTTTTGTGTACTACGAGCCGGACTTTGGTGCGTGAAAAGTACCCCTTCACCGGACATTTGGGTAACACGCATGGTATCCCTCCGTTCACGGAGTTGGGGGGCGGGGGGGGGGGGGGGGGGACTTACCATGAAAAAGGAATGTTGCATTGTCATTCTTCCGATATTGGAACACCTCTTGTCCGTTAATATTGTCTGAAGTGCATCCAGTGTAAAGAGTAGTACCATCGTAAGGGAGGTCCTGGGGTGGGTCATTTTCGATAAACGAGCAGTTCAGCTGTAAATTAGAGAGGAAAATCAAGGATTAAGATAAAAGCTCAAATTACCCTACACTACTTCTTAAAATATTGAATTCATTGTTTATTTGATCCAGGTTTCATGACTGTACCTAAATGTAACTATAATACTTTTTAAGAGAGTGGATATATTTACTTCTCGTTCGTAAAAAATAATTCAAAATTGAAGATAGATTGGCAACCTACAGACCGCCAGTGAACAGAGAGACCTGTGAATTCACCAAGACTCATTTTACTTTGGCATTAGAATTATAATATGTTGGAATACTTTTGCAAATCTCATGTAAAAATTAACATGTCAAACAATGATTAGATTCGGTCTCTTGAAAATGATTTTAGGAGAGTTCTAAAATTGTAGTAAATGAAACCGAATTCACTTTCGGCAGATGGGCTGTCTGTATCGGGGGCCGGCGCACAGTGGGCCAGGGAGGAACCAAAAATGCGCCAAAACTAGTTTTGGGTGATCTATTTTTTCCAATTTTTTTCTAGCCCAGTTGAAAGGTGAAACACTGAGGAAAATATTTAATTCCGGTATGCACGATAGGGATATAAATGTACTCCTTCATACAGCAAAATCCTGCATATTTACAGTTTTAGTGCAAAAGTGACTAATTTCATAAATCTTTCAATTTAACATAAAGTTTTTAAGTCGTTGATATGAAATTGCTCTCACATATTCCTGATAGTTCATTTCGTTGCATGAATGGGTTAAAATTAATAGAAACACAATATTCATGATATGTTCTAGGGTAATTCACTGAAAAATTGACTAACTGTCCCTGTTTTTATTAATTTACTGGAAATGTTTATATTTCCGCGGAGTTCCGCTAATATTTTAATACCACCATTTTTTTCTTTTGTCTAAGCTTAAAGTTGATACCAAATTTGGCTGCCCGATCTTGCCCGTTGTTATGTAAGAGCCGATTTCCCTTGCCACATTGCCCCGACATTTTTCTTAATTTGTCTTGGTCCGCGGCTTAATCATGAAGGATTCGCGGTCATAAATCACGTGGGGGCGCGTGACACATCTTCTGACACCTCGGACCAAAATAAACACATTTTTTCCGGGGCAACGTTGCAAGGAAAACGGCTCTAACATAATAACGGGCAGAATCGGGCAGCCAAATTTGGTATCAACTTAAAGCTTAGACAAAAGAGAAAATGGTGGTATTAAAATTTTAGATACATGTGACATTAGAGAAAATGGTGGTATTAAAATGTTAGATACATGTGACATTGGAGAACAATGTTGGTAATACAATTTATTAAAAGCGGAAATCCCTGGAAATCCAAACATTTCCTCTGGACTTATACGAAATGAGTTTTGGCGCACTTTGGTTCCTCCCTGGCCCACTGTGCGGCGGTCTCATGGGCTTTCTGTATCGCGGGCTGTCGGTCTCAGGGGAAGTATGTCTCGTGCTAAGGGTTGTAGCCAGATTGGCCATATAAAAGGATATTTAAAATCGTATCTTACCATTGAACCATCATAATCGCAGAATGCACACCGTGGAAGTTCAGCATTGGTTCCACATGCTAAAACCCTGCAACTGCTACTATTGCAGGTTTGGCCAAGCGTAGTCACTCCTCTAATGTAGTTATCACAATCCTCCTATACACACATTTAAAGGTAGAAATTAATTCTTAAATAATCAACGCATCACTTTTAATCACTTTTCTTTACAAGCTGCGACACTGGCAACAAATTTGATTTTAGTGACTTTGCCAAGTTGACTGCAAAATTCAGGTAATTCATAGTACCTATATTTGCATTGACGGTGCATAACTATACACATTTTACTCCCCTCATATTGTGAAAAATTTCATCCCTTCAATTTTCATTCCCATATGTTTTTGTGCACAGTTTATAACATGATTTTGAACTTACACTGAAGAGATTTATATTCATCCAATTTACACCGCAGTTGAAATGACATTTATTTTAAACTGTAATATGAACTCAATTCCATTAGTGTCGTTTCATATTCAAAGGTATAATGCTTGATCATTAGCATCATCGTTAATAAATTAGGGCTTATGAAGTACAATCGCAAGCGATTCAGTTTCGCAAAAGCTGAATGCAGTTAAATCACAACTAATACAACACAACAAGATTTTTACTTTGCCAACAAAAATTGTTGCCATGAAAATAACCGTCCATAACGATTCATGAAAGTTTAAGTCACACGAGGATTCTGGTTATTATTATTTTTAACTTGTTTATAAATTGAACATTTTCAGCCTGCGAGCTGCTTGTTTGATGTGATTTCTCAACAAACCAAACCAATTCAATTCAATTCAATTATTACAGTAAATTATAAATGACCGTATCAGGACAAATTTATCCCAAGACAATCACCCCGGGAAAAATACCCCCTGGTAAATAACCTTTCGAGGACAATAACCCCCCCCCCGGAAAATCACCCCTAGGACACTCACCTTTCGAGGACATCCCCCCCCCCGTGGACAATTACCCCCTAAGACATTTGCCTAAATACAAGATATCATGTGCGCCCCTCCCCCCCCCCCAACACAAAATACACACACTCGGGGGTGATTGTCATGAAGGGATTTTTTCCCCGGGCTAATTGTCCCGCTTGTAAATGGCCTGGGGTGATTGTCCGGGGGTTAATTGTCAAGGGAGTATTGCTCTAGAACTATATGTGGAGGTTTATGGAAAGCCATAGGGGAAAAAAACTAAATATATTCGATCCCTGCAAAATGTATGGGTCAGTATGAATATGTATAGACATAATTATATTCGATGTTTATAAGAAATATAATGCGCCATTGAAATATATTCGATGTTTTATTAGAAATATATGGGTAATCAAAATATTCTATGTTTACAACTAAATACTTTTTTTCTACCTTGAGGGAATTGGTGTCCTGTATCGAGATTCTGAGTTATATATATATATATTTGTTACCTTATAATGTTTATTTGCCAAGAATCAACTTTGCATTAGAGAAATTTGCTCTAATGTTAAGCAACCATATTCTACGATCTGAAAGCAGATCACCTCTACAAATTTTATTTTCGGGAGTTATGTATAGCAATATAAGAATTGATGCAGGAAACCTGGTAATGTTTGGCGTTGATGAGGATGGAAAACCAAGACAAATACAAATTGAAAGGAATGCCCAGTATTCAAAGACTATCAAAGGCAAAGGAGTGCAAATATATTTTTATTTTTTACTATTAAATATATTTTTATTTATTTATTGATTAAAAAATCTTTTAACAGGATAACATTGATCAGCTCGCAGGCTGTTTTACATAATGGTTCTGCATAAAGAAGGAAACAAATTTCAAGACTTGACAATAAGAGTAGTTAAAAACAAAATAGCAGTATATGTAATTTCTTAGACAATAGGGCTAGCAATCATTTTTAGTATTATTGCATACAATGCTGTAGTAGTAAGGAGGAACGGCAGTGAACACATTTTGTCGATTAAAAGGAAGATTTATTTATATTGGTGTTTAAAGCTGTCAACAGTCAACTTTTCCAATTAACTGCTCCAGCATACTTAAAATATTGTTTGAATAAGGTCACGTTAGGTTTGGGCAATACTACATGTAGAGAGTTTGCATTCCTTGTATTAAGGCCATGGCGGTCGAAATACATTTCTATTTCGTTTGATAGGCGAGGTGGAGCAATGCCCCTTACACATTTGAACATAAGCATAGCCAGAAAATAATCACGGCGGTGGTCAATAGTTTGCCAGGAATGTTGTTTTATCGATGCGTTGCCGCTTGAAATTTCATAGTCAGAGATACTAGTTACATATCCAGAAGCTCTTTTCTGCAATCTCTCTCTGTAGCTGGCTGGGCAGTTTCCTCATACAGAGATTACATAGTCTATACAGGGTTGGATTATTCACTTATAAAGGGTGTACAATAGTTCTGAGTTTAGGAATATACTCAGCTTTCCTAGAGAATAAATGTTATAAGCAATAGATTTACATAAATCTCTTAAATATACATTCCACTTCAAGTTTTCATCAATCACAATACCTAAGTATCTTATAAATTTTACCTGACCGATCAGTTCATCTTTTATGAATATATTCAATATGTCAGAGGATCTTAATTTGATAAGTATTGTTTTGTTTTTACTTGTGTTAATGCGTAATCGATTTTGATTATACCAATTATTTAGAGCGTTAATATCTTTTTGTAATTTCTTTTTGACGTCATCTAACTTACTTTTTGCAACAAAGACTACAACATCATCAGCAAATATGGTGCAGGCGCCTTCAGTTATACATTCAGATATATCGTTAATGAATATTAGGAACAAATTGGGAGCTAAGACACTGCCCTGTGGTACCCCGATTGAAAGCTCTCTTATATCAGATAGTTTTCCTTTGGAGTATACTACTTGCTTCATATTACTTAAATAGTTTTTGAACCATATGAGCCTATTTTCAGTAATTCCATATTTTTCAAGTTTGAATAAAAAAAGCTCTTATTTTTCTGTGCTAACATATTTTCTGGTACGAACAGAAATCTCATGCGAACAAACAAAAATCACAAAAACATCAGGGCACGTATATATTACGGGACCTAACGATATAATTTATGTTTTGGCACATATAAATTGTCCAATCTAGTTTTTGTGTTTAACCAATTTTCTTTCCTTGCACATAAATATATTTTGTTTGCATATAAGTTTGTGTTTGCATAAATTAATAAAGAATGTATTAACATCAACAAAGTGTATATTTTGATAGCGCATGCATTTTTTTAAATATTCAGAATACTTTAATAACGCATTTATTCATTTAACCCATCGCATATATTCTTACACAGATATATTTTATATTTTAAAAGCGCATATATTGCTTATAAACATTGAATACATTTTGATACTGACCCATGTACTTTTCAGGGATGTAATATATTTAGTTATTTTCCCTATGGCTCGCCATATATTTTGAATACAGGAGCTATCTATTACTCACCACATCAGAATCTGCTTTGTAGCAACCCGTGAAACCTGTACTATAACATACCCCCAAATACTAAAACAAAAAGGAGATAAATAATTAAACAGTTATAAAATACATGTATATACATATACATATTCATAGATATTTCGTTTCCATTGACTTGTCGAGACTTGTCGAATTCATTATCCGGCTAATCCGATTTAAAATGTCACATAGTCATGAAGGCTGCCGTGTGCTTTATTATATGTCATCACGTTAAGCAAAGTCAAACAGTGCAATGCACGTCTTTCCTTTTTACTTATATTTAACTTCATATATTTAGATTTTATAATCACTAATATTATTTTCACTTTACCTTTCCTCGCCCCTTTTTTTCTCTCTGAGAATATAAAACAAAAATGTTGGATAAAAGCCAAACGAATTACCCATGCACACACCGGTATCCCATCAGTATTTTATCCTTAACTTTGAACGAGTGTGATTGACTGACGAAAACAAAAACATTTATCATCAGCTTTGAATGAATAATAATAAACGATTCATGGAAATCATGTGTCCTGAACTTTGAATGAGTAAGAATGACTGATGGAAATAAGGTATACTTGAATTTTAAATGAATGTGAATGACTGATATAAATAATGCATCCCTAAAATTAGGACTTGAAACTTATACATGGACACGCAAAAATTTAGTCTGTACCCCCAATATTTCCATTTTTGGCATATTTTCATGCAAGAAGTTTCTAAACAGTAAAATGAAAAAAAACCCTTCCCTAAATGCTAGGGCGGATCCCTAACAATGCCAACATTAGAAAAGAAATTCTGAGCTTTCACATGTATCTTTACGCATACATACATACCCCAGTATTGACAATGTCTCCGTCAATTATAGTCAAGTTCTGATCACTTCCAAGGAAAATCAAATCTGCTGCTCCAGACCGTTGGTAACCATCAACGACTCTGACATCGCCCTTAATAATTTCATCACCTCCGTCTGCAATGAGAATGAGAGCAGTCACTATGTAAACACTCTTCACATTGAACATCTACATTCTTGAATAAAACAAGACTTCATTTTTAACTGTTCTTTTGAGTTAGCGTTGCTGTTTGATAATAAGATTAAGATAACATTTTAAAGAAAAAATACGTCACAGAGACTGTCGTTCTAACTGACAATATAAAGTTTAACAAATACAACAAACTGCACATAGCCTTTTACAATAAGATAGAATGAAACCTACTGACCGGTATCCTGAAAGGAACAATAATCTTTAAAAAAATGTCAATATTACACCGGCCCCTTTCTTGTGGCATTGTTCTTGCTCAACTTTTGTTGAGATTTTCGCCACAATTACTCTTAAGATTAAGAATGACAGGTCTAATATAAAATAAGAAATTAAACGAGTATACAAATATTCTTATTCAATTTCAGGTCAGGTTAATTGGTCTAGCGATACGTTTACTTGGTCCTTTGTTGGTCTTCGCCTACAAACTATTTCGAGTGACCCCGTTATGAAACTGAGTTACGTCTTTCGGATGGTGACGTTAAAGATCGGTCCCAAAACGTTAATAATGATATCTGATTGATACACGTCCGTCATATGCAATTACACATACACATTCAAGTCGAATCTTAGAAATACATTCTCTACCATACTGTACTTACCACAAGTCAAAATAGCTTGCTCACTAAGGCCTGTGAAACAGACCGTGTACAGGAAAACCGCTAGTATCTGTCCCTTCAACATGCTTGAAACTGAAATGATAATGTGAACAGAGAAATTAATGGACAAATATTCATCGTCTCGATAATTTACAAATCCTGTACTTCGTAGTATTAGTAGTAAAAATAATAATATTAATAACAATACAAATACAACTAATACTACTACTTCTGCTATTAACACTAATGATAATAACCACACTAATCACAGGCCTAACAAAATTATAGTAATGATAATAACAATAGTTATAGTGATATTTAAAAAACATAATAATAATATTTAACAAATATTATAATTATAACAATAATAATAATGATCACATCAATAACGATAATTATAATTACAATGAAAAATGATAATAATAAAATAACAATAAAAACAATAATAACAATAACAATAAAATGAATGCTACTACTACTACTACTACTACTACTACTACTACTACTGATCATAATAATGATAATTGATATGATAATAAACATACCAAAATATTCTTCCATCTTCATGCATTTTAATCTGCCCATTACAATGTGAATAAAAAATAAATAAATAGCACCTCCGACCGTACAATGGTAACTGTGACCATGAACATCTCAGAATAAATAGTTGACATATATAATTTCCAAACGGGAATAGATAATTGGTCGATTTAAGGCAAGAAACATCTTGACCCTGGGAGGGAGCTATCCAACATGAATACTTTATCATTTATAAGTTCATAACTTCAAACTCGATTTCAACCGCGGCAACGATCACTGAATATTTATTGTAGGATCGCATATGCTTCCAATATGCTCATTTGAACGAAATTCATGACCCCATACCAAAACTTTGTATTACCTTGTATGTCCGTTTTGTTTACCGTACACATGGTTTAATAAATATTTGATCTCAAATAAGAATAATCATCAAATGATTATTATACCTCATGGATGGTCGATGAAATGGGCATTTAATACACAAACTTGGAATTAGAAGAAATCATTATGAGACCATATGGGTAGTATACGTGCTGGATAAAGCCGTATGGGTATAGAGTAGACTGTTCGGGTAGTAGACGTACTGGTTGTAGACCAAACGGAAATTCACCACTACAAACACACCTGGGCGATTCCATTCTATAACAATTTATCTTCAAAGATGGAAAATGCTGAACTATGCTAGCTAGATATCTTAACGTTCCAGAAAAGGTAAATTTCTTTCCTGAAGTTATAGCTTACATGCTCTATGGAAGAAAAAAACATGTACTACCATTTAATCTACACACAAAATAAACCTTCAAATTATAAATGCTACAATACACTGAATAAGGATATGGTTAGTGTTTTACAGCGATTAGAGATAATTATATTGCATATTGGATGGTGATATTACATTTCATGTAGAATAACTTTAAAATGCTAGTCGGTAAGACATGCAAAACTTTGATTTTTTTCCACAGTTCAGTTCCTAAAGCCTCGGTCTGGCAAAAAAACCAACTTCTTAAACTAGCCTGGTGAACACCTTAACATTGTTTAGCTCATGAATTATAAGCCATAATATTTTGTCCATAAAAATGCAGGATGCACATAGCATGTCGTACTGACACGTCCATACAACATGACAACATTCGCTGTGAGTATAAACTGTACAATACGCATTTTTAATTAGGTGCAAGTTCCAGTACTGAACAAACAGTGCCTAAAGTCTATTGCTTCAACAACACCCTGTTTGCTTAACAATATCCTTAACAAAAGAGAACAATCGTTGATAAACTCAGATTCTTTATCAGAAGGAATTGTGACGGATATCTAAGATTGTTTTTCAGGACCTAAAATGCCTCTCCCTTACACACCTGTCAGTGATTATATTAATTCCACCTTAAATACCCACTTCTCAATCATTTCCATAGGTTAACCTTCTCTATCAGGCTATTCTATTATTTTGGACTTGTCTTTTTTCTACTATGTCATTGGTTCTGATGTTTTGAATGTTAATTTATTATCTGAATGTTCTGCAGAGAGCAGTCTGTAACAAATAAAAAACAAAGCAGAGTTCTTAACTATACTTTGGAAGCTTTATAGTAGTAATCATGACGTTTATATCTACATTTACGATGCAATGAAGTTCAAAGTACCTCAATACAATGTGCAGTACCTGAGTCATAATCAGATTGGGGTGAGTTATTATAATTATTTATTTCCAAGCATATCAGCTGAAAGATAAAACAAACCTGGCAGAAGTCACAGAAAGCAATTTGCTTTCTCTGGCAGAACTTGATAACTTGGTTCAAGTGGGCTTAGCATGTCATTAACAAACACTTCTAGAGTGCATGTAAGAGACCAATATTGAAGGGGGAAATTTGTATTCTATATTCAAAATCATACAGCATTGTTGATTCTCAACCATTATATGTAAATATTAAAACAGTCACTCGATCTGAACACACACATGTAAACAGACATCAATTAAAATGGCCTCAGACAGAAATTCGTAGAACCGTTCTTTGCTATGTGAATCATTTGTTTGCTTCAAAATCAGCTTTTTTCACACAAAAAATATATATGCTGGGAACTTCAATTTCATGTTGATATGTTAAAAAGGTAAGACTGAACCCACCCCGGTAGATCAAGGATGTTTTGAAGGGGGCACTATGCCCTCAAATAACACAATGTAGTAAGGGGGAGTTATACCCCCCTAATCTATTAATGACTGAAGTGATGAAGTGATGCATGCTTTTAATAAGGATCATGATAAAGCACATGCCTACCCTAATACTACATGTTTAGTTACAATACCGGACTGATTTTCTACAGACAGATTGGGAAAGAATGAAAACGAGGGGGTGGGGCGGGGGGGGGGGGGGGGCTGATGTTGGGATTCTCTGTTTGCACTAGAAGTCTACAATATCCAAAGTACGTTTGCTTTGATTGTGCAGTAACTGTGCATGCAGGAAGCTAATTAAGTTGCTGCGTGTACTTGAATTAAAGAAAATTGCAATAGACCATTTTCGTAATATAATCAGATTGTGTTCATAGTTCCTTTTTTAAAGTGCCTTTTTGCAAATTATCTTAATTTACCCTATACAAATGATTATATCTTAAAAGCCAGAATGAAAATTGCATACATTAATTGTTACTTGGTAGGCAGACTTGGAACAAAATGGTAATTTTCTTTTATCAATACAATATTTACAAATCTGTGTATTTGATTTAACTCGCAATTTATCCTTAGTTTTTTTCTTTTTTTGTATGAACGATATCCAAATACTCATTCTTATAGTTGACAGAAGTGGGATATCATTCATTAACTGTACAGTATTGAACATATATCACTGGAAGGCGGAAAATGACAGCTTTGATATAAAAGAAGTAACATGCTATTCGAAATTGTATTCATGAGATCTAACATATTACAGTAATAAGAAGGATACAATAATAATATGTGGGGTTTATATAGTGACTATAAGGATTACCATGTATCTTAGTCTTCCGGATGGTGACGTTAAATGTCGGTCATCAGACGTAAACAATCGTATCTGATTGAATTGAATTGAATTGATTTGAAATGTATTTCCATCATCATGACAATATATACACACATAAAATATTGAATTTCATAACATGTAAAAATATCAAAATTACATATAAATTGACATGACAGCATTCAAAATATGAAGAAAATATGAAGGTTTTAAGCATAGTACAAATGGAAAATGGTGCATCCATAAAAGCCAGTAAGGCTTGACAATTGAATGCACCAGGCGCAGAAGTAATAATAACATATATTTGGAAGAAGAAAAAAGATACACGTCTGTATACAAATCTAATGACACACGCACACGTACACACTCTTGGTACTTTTACTGGTATTATTACCCGGATCATTGGATTCAAGGCTGCCCGCACACAAGGTATGCACATAATCCAACTCCTTGGGAAGCATTCGAACCAAATGCCCATTTTCAGACGATCAGCAAACTCCACCCATATGACTTAATTTGTATTGAGATAATGAAATTAGATATAGTTTCCGACATGTATAGACCTACAGTGGCGGCTATGGAAGAATCTTCATGGTCTCATGCACTTTAATGAGGCAAATTTGCATAATTAATAATATTGAAGAAACATACTTTTTGTTTGAAAATATTTAAAAATCTAAAATTAAAAAAAGGACTGCCACATTTAACAAATATTGCATAGAAGTACTTGTATCAATCAAAGTTATACAGGTAAAAATGTAAAATATTTATAACACAAATAATAATTTATTCCCCAAAGCCCGGGTATTATAAAGTTCTACCATTTAAAGTTGTATGTGTACTTTATGAAATTGTATATGTATATTTAAGGTATTGAATGCTACATGTACAGGTAGGCTTGCAGCCAATGCAAATGGGCATTTACCCATTGGCTAAGGGGAATCTGGGGCTTTGGGTGTCTGGACACTCCGATTTGACGGGCAATATTTGTCAACCGATCACAGCACTAACAATTCGTGAATATTTATCCTTTATGATAATTTTCAACATAGGTTTGAGAGGATTTATGAAATATTGCTTGTAAACTTCAACAAATTGCTGTTTTAAATCAACTGTCCGGATACACCACCAGTCCGGACAAAGAAAGTCTGAATATACATGTACATGTGCAGTACATACACTAAACGACGTGGAATTAGACAACTTAGTAAAGTCAAGCAGTTAAATGAGAATTCCTTTACCACCAACCAAGGCAAGGATCAAAACACACAATTAGGGCGAGATCGTTTTTCGACCATTCTGAGAATTATGAATTACATACAAATGCATGTCTAGATTCTAAGATGTCATTTGATGGAAACTAGCACCACTATAAGCACCTATAGCAAATGCCTGGCAGGAACCGACAAATTATTTTTCATTCCCTGCTCTGTTGCTAAGTTAAACTTGCTAAGTTAAACTTACCCGTTGAGCAGTTTGCCTGATACCGTCCGAGTGATAATGTAAAGAAGTGTATGGGCATGGGATAAATCCTTGAACATATCGGAAAGGAAGCCTGGTGTTATCCTGTTATCAAGCTGCGAGCTGGGATATGAATGCTTTAAGCTAATCCCGATCATGGGCGCGACGAGTTGTGGTTGATCAAAGGGCATGACACCACTGTGCACATACGGGAATCCCCCCGTTTCACTACCTGTACGGTATCGCAGAGTAAGTACAGAAAGGGCAGGGGTGGGGTGATCCGAAAACTTAATAAGCAAAGATCCTTCTCTTTAGCGTTCGGATCGAAATACAAATAATCATCGATTGTACTAGCCATTATCATTGATATTTGTCCTTTGTAATGTAGGATTTCCCGGCAAAATTCGCGCATTTGTCATTAAAAATAATATGTCTTTCATTTTAACTCGAAGGTTTTAGTTTTGTCAGTTATGTTTGTAAGAAAGTTGTTTGGAGGAAGGGTACCATAATGTGACTGGGTTAGGGACTAGTGTCACACAATTTGAGCGTGATTCATTACTAAGCCAAGTCTTTAGCCATCGATCTGGTGGCGGGCAAGGCATCGGAGTATGCAGGTCTGCATTCTACGAAATGATTCCATGCATTTCTCCTTTTTGCGGCGTCAACGTTTCTCCTGGCTATACGACAAATGATGTCTACTCGTCACCTCTCCATCGTCAGTCCTGCCTACTCAGCAGCTTCCCGGTCACCCATTGCCTGATGCATATCAGGATGTGCCAATCCCTCTAAAACGTTTGTTTAAATGCAGAATGGGCAATCTTGGTGTAGTTAAGGAACGGAGAGGAAGGAGGCAGGAGCTTAACCTGGGGGGCGTTTCACAAAACTTGTCATCAGTGACAAATGAAACTTTATGTTATAAACTACTGAAATCCTTGCTTTTGATTGGTTATCAGCAAATTTGTCACAAATTTCTGTCATTTGTCATTGAAAAAAGGCTTTGTGAAACGCCCCCTGGATGAGTGGTAATTCAACGTAAGGCGGATGCTGAGCCCTCATGGGTGGTCTGGCGTTGTCGTAGGTCAAAACGACTGGTTCCCCTGGAGGGAATATGATGGAACACTGGCGTGCCGTTTTAGCGAGGAAGTCCTCGAAGCTGGCTCTAGTAGTCGTCTCGCATATGAAACTGCGACTATCGTAACGTTGCACCTCTTGCCACGTTGCCCATCGGTTACCTGTTACATACAGTTTGTAAACATTTGGAAGGAACTGGTACATATTATGCTAGGATGCTCTTTGTAGATTTTTCTTCTGCATTTTAATACGATAGTTCCTGGAACCTTGGTGAAAAAAACTAAGCAGTGTTGTGAATCCCAAATTATGTCAATGGTTAAGGGATTTCATGACAAACATGGTGCACCAAGTACTTTTTGGAAATGTTAGGTCCCAAGTTAGACACAGGCACTTCACAAGGATGTGTGCTCTTGCCCATCATTTATACCTTGCTTACTAGTGATTTCTCTTCCTCAAATGTTTTATCTTGTCACGTAGTAAAGTATGCAGATGACAAGCCTTACATCATTGTTCTTGATCACTAACAATGATGAAGTTGCATATAGGGATACTGTTGAAAATTTTGTTTCTTGGAGCAAAGATAATTCACTTGTTCCAAATGCAACAAAAACTCATGAAATGATTTTTAACTACAGAAAAAATGTTGGCACAACTTACTTGTCCCTGTACATTGATGGGAAAGCCATAAAACAGGTGGCTAAATATGAATACTTAGGAATTGTAACTTACAACAAACTAAAGTTGAATAGTAATACCAATGTAATACACAGCAAATGTAACCAGTGTGTGTATTTTCTAAGAAAGATGAAAGCATTACATGTGAAAAGTGAAACAATGTTCCTGCTCTACCGACGTTTCGTTCAGTCAGTCATCTGTTTTTGCTGTCTAGCCTGGTTTAACAGGAAAAACACAGCAAACTTGTAAAGGATAGTGACACAATAGCTCGACGATGTATACAGAAAGGTCATTATTGGCTAAAGTGTAAGCGATTGTGAGGGATTCTAATTACCCTCTGCATAAGGAAGTGGTCTTTAATAGATCAGGAAGAATGAGGCTAGAATAAGGTTCGCCAGATCCTTCTCCCAAGTGTAATGAAAGTATTTAACAGCAATTTGTGTAGATGAATGATCCTGTTCACATCCGAGTACTTCCCCTATTCTCTCATTTTATCTATCTCTTTCTTTCTCTCCTGTCTCTTTCTCTCTCCTTTCTCTTCTCTCTCTCCCCCCTCTCTCTCTCTCCCTTTCTCATTCCTATCTGTATCTCTCTTTCTGTCTGTCTCTCTTGGAAGTACAGGAGGGGACTGTGAGGATGAGTCAGCTTTTATAAGGTCAAAGGAGGAGGGGGTCCTCCCTGTTATGGTTTGAGTAGGGATAAAGTGAGTGACATGTGGACCTATCAATTCGACAATACATTCAATATTTCAATAGCACTTTTCCTCCCTTTCCTCTCTTTCCTTTTCTCCGTTTTTCTTTCTTTCTTCTTTCTTTCTTGTCTCTCTTGGCTCTCTTCTCTTTTATGTGACATCAATTACCTTCTTTCAACTGTACAGTGCTACTCCTCCATCTGTATCTACGTGTATGTACTAGCTTATAGTTGTCTTTTTGGCATGCATGTAGTGTTTCGTAAGTTATGTATACGTAAAGCACAGGTGCAATAATAATGTCTATAATTACAAAGAATTGTTTTGAATAAAATTGTATATGCATCATCTTACACTGAACTGTTTCTATTTTCCTTTCTCTCTCTACCTCCCTCTCTCTCTTTCCCTCTTTCTCCCTTTCAATCCTTTTCTCTTTCTTTCTTCTCTTTCTTTATTTCTCTTTCTTTCTCTTTTTCTCTCTCTTGTTTCCCCTCTTTGACATCCAGTATGATGTACGGATAGTCTATGTCTGCTAGCAAAAAAAAAAGATTTTATCTGAATTTTTTATTATTTAAAAAGTAATCGATTTTCGATCTTTGCTGTGACTTGTGCCATTTGTTTGTCATTGATTGTTGTCATGTACATTTTCTAGAGTAAATTAAGTAATAATTGTCTGGTGGGAGCCAGGGGAGTACAACGGATCCGGATTGGCATTCCTATGGCTGTCAACAGAGAGATCAAATTATATTACATTGTTATGTTATTTATGTCATTTGTAGTTAGTTGTGTATGGTATGATAATGTATTGTTATATCCGATACAAATGTGAGTCTTGAGATGATTTTTATGCCGTCCTTTTATTTGTGCATGACAATAAAGAAATTATTTTTTTCGAACCGGGTGACCGCGCTGTGCCCTTCCGAAGGATCGACGAGTCCAGATATTATAGCCGGTTTCGTCAATGAAAACTGTTTGGACGACCAAGCCTCCAGACCTGCCAAGAGCCACTGAGCATACTCAACCCGACGATCAAGAGTTGCTTGTGAATTTCTCCCCTATGCCACGTATTCAGCCAGTTTGAGGGTAATACACGTACCATCTAGAGCTCCAGATATGGCCGAAATGGAAACTGCTGGGTCATGCGACATCGGACAATGCCGCCTCCATATGTCTCTCTTCATCTGCTATATTGTGGATAGAGGGTAGAGAGGAACAACTGGGTTAAAATTAATACAGATCACACGATAATGGCTGTTGTGATACTCTCCTAGAAAATTCTCACTATATTATGAAGTTCAAGAAGCAAGCAGCTAAGTGCAACATCGACCCTGACCACCTTCCACCATCATAAGATGCAACAGTTCAACATTCCCTTCGTGACCATCTTCAAGTTGTGGTATGGAACCATCTTGACACCTCTATTCTTGATACCAAAGGAAACGGAGACGAGATGGATTCCAACAGAAAACTCAGACTAAAGATGCTGTCTGTTGGTATTTTGCGAGACAACCTTCTAAAGGAATTTGTTGCAACTGCAAAGAAGGGGAGAGGCAGTGTCAAAACATGAAATGCAGCTGGTATCTGCATATGGAGTGTGGTGTGGACATTGGTGTGATGGAACAGGAAGCATAGATGCACAAGAAGTTATTGGTAGTGATGAAGAGGGAAAACATTGAATATTTTTAATTTATATCGTGTTGCCGATACTTACTGTATGTTCTAAATTGTAGGTAGTATTCTAAAAGTTGTTAATCATAAATGCACATTACGTTACATACACAAACTAATTGACACTAATGAATTTTAACCCCCCCCCCCCCCCACCTCAGTTTTACCTTCATCCTCGGATTCCGGTGGTGAAGAATCCAATTCGCATTTTGTTTATATCCTATAATAATTGTGTGCATTTTGACATCATCATCGAGGCCTATGTAAAAACTGCTGTTGCTGAAATACCATTTTTTAGTGTTTTAGTGCAAGCTAGTCAATGACCTTTGATCCTCAGAAAGGAAATTTCCACTCCTCCTCTCTTCTTGGAATAAAAAATAACCCCCATTCCCGCCACATTAAGGTGGTTAGTCTCTTCAATTTGTTTGGGATCATTTTCATAAAATAATGTAATTTTCCTGTTACTAATACGATATTTGAGTGATAAAACGTATATTTTTCACGTTTTGCTTCATTTTTGGAGGTCAGGATTTCATTTGAAGGGTAAGTAGTTTTTCTATGTCATCTTCTTTTGTAATACTGTGCATTTTGACACCAAGATCATCTTTATACCTTATTTTGTTGCTGAGATACAATTTATAGTGTTTTAGTGCAGGGTCGATGACCTCTGACCCCCAGAGAGGAAATTTCCCCCTTCTCTTCCTTCGTGGAATAAATAGTATTAAACCCCTATTCCCGCCACAATAAGTTGAAACTAGCCTCTTCGATTTGTTTGTGCTCATTTGTATATAATATAGCTGTGATATATTCGGGACGATAACAAATGCATCAATGTGTAACTACTGGGTATCAACTGCAAATGTTGTCATGTGGTGTATTATTAGGGACTTTTAGATTGAGTGGAAGAGAATGGCATGAACGTTTACTGATCTTGCGTGTCCATGGTAGGCCGTGTTAACATTTATTCCTATTTCTTGATATCAAGAAATAAATGTTTGATATCAAGAAATAAA